CTCCCTTTAACCCCTCCATCCCTCCCTATTTACAAAGACTTTGTTTCTATTTTTTCATTTTCTCATATTAATTCCATTCCCTTCTTTCCTTTCCCCTACCTCCCCCCGACTTCCCCTTCCACTTTGCCCCTTTTCTTCCTATTTCACATTATCTATTATACTTTTTAGTCCTTATTTACATTTTCAGTTTCTCACACCAGAGAAACTCTTCAGTATTTACACGTGTGTGTCCTATGTTATTACACTTAAGAGTATCGCCTCAATGTACGTTCATTATATAAAATAAAAATTTTCAGGTCTTGCAGATTGGTGTGTTTTTTTGTAGACTGTCATGTCCATCTTCTAGGGCAGTGATGGTAAACACTGTAGAGGTTTCAATGATAATGAGTAGCTGGCTGCAGCACGTGTACTATAGTTTTGCCACCATTGTCCTAGAGATTGAAGGGTTAGAAGCTATTTGGGCTCTAGAATGACAGGACTGAGCAGTACAGATGGAGGAAAGACAGGTCACCCAGCAGGTACAAAATGGAATTTGTGCTTGTTTATTTAGTTCGGTGCAGTGTAGGATGACTAGTGGAGGTGAGTTGGAAGTTGGGTCTTACACCTAGCACCAGCCAGAGCTCAGTGTTTATGTTAGCTTCTCTGCTTCCTTCTCTCCATCCTATTCTGGTCACTGTCTTGCTGGCTGCTTTGGCAAGACTTTTACACCTATCCTCTACATTGCAACAGTTATTTGGGAACTTCTAGTAAAATAGTTAACTTTCCTCCTTGCAAAATAGATACTTAGAAATACAACCTGATAAAACAAGGTGGAGTTTACTTTTTTGCCCATGGTGCTTTTGTGAGGATTAAATAGTAATATATGTTAAACACCTTGAAAAATTAAAAATAATATTTAGATTAATGTAGTATTGCTAGAGTGAGGAGGTTAGAAAATTTGGATGAAATTCACTCAAAGCTCAGCTATAAGTACCTAGTAGTGACATCTTTAATATAGGAATGCATATGTATATAATCTGAACAGAACATTTTTTAGTAATCATAGCTCTCTCATCATGGATAATTACTTTTAAAATGTTTAAGAACTGCTATCTGTAAAAGTAATCCATTTTATTTTAGAAAAATTTGAAAAGTACAGAAAATAACACAAAGGAAAATAAAAGTCACCCTATTTTCCAAACACTCACCAATAACCACTATAACATTTTGATGTTGGGGCATTTTTTCCCATCCATTTGTTTTTGATGCGCCTACTTTCTACATATACAAGTAAGAAAGTGTATGTTACGTATGTATGCATGTGCTTTTTTTTTTCCTTTATTCTAATTACTTTTCAAAGCAAGAATTTCAATGGCTGCAAGAGTCTATTGTATTGATACATCATAATTTATTAATCCTAAATGTTTAACATACTGTTTTGATAAATATATTGGTAGGTAAGTCATATTCATCTCTGGAATATAAAACAATAAATAAGTGAGTCATTCACTTTTTTTTTTTTGGTACCGGGGATCGAACTTGGGTTCTTGCGCTTGCGCAGCAGGCAGCGAAACCACTGAGCTAAATCCCCGGCCCTGAGTCATTCACTTTTGAATCTAGAAAGTTTGTACCGGTTTCCTTTCCCAGTAACTGCCCTGGAGTTCCTTTTGAGTCATGGATGATTTATATGAAAATGAAGGTGGCTGTATAATCTTGTCTGTCCTTGGTGATTGGAATATGAACGTGTCATAACCCAGCATTTGTTGAATGAAAAGAGCTTTCCAGATCACCTTCCTTCAGCCTTCTTCCTTCTTTATAACCTTGTCTGTTGAACTGACACATTGCAGTTTTGTCCATCTTTTTGCTTTATTTCTCTTGACTTCCATCTAATTTCATTAGACAAGTTTAGGATTGGTTTACTTGCTTTTGTAGTTATTAGACTTTTTTGATGATAGATGAAGTCAGCGATGGTCTATGCTAAATTGTTGCAAAAGCCAGCATGCTCTGTGGTATGTTAATATATTTGAACTTAATTATGTTTTGGGTAAAATTTACCACTTTGATTAGATTTTTCCCTTATATCTCTTGTTTTACCTTGTAAGTTACTAGAAAAATTGATCTTATTCCATGGAATTTATATTTAATGTAAATTTATTTGTAGGAGAATATATTTTAGCATAGCAGCAGTTGCTTATGTGGTATTTTCTATGTATCCATGTTGTAATATGAGATTCCTTTATTTTCACTGTTTTGTTTTTACTCAGTTGAGACCACTGAGGTATTCCATGAAATAAACTCATTAACAATTTAGAAACTATCTGAGGTTTTGTCAGAGGCAAAGTTCTTTCTGGGTTTTTTGAAGACATAAGTGGGGATGTGTCAAAACTGATAGCGCATTTGGTCAGTATGCATGAACAACAGAGCTTGTGCCTTGCCTTTTTTAGCTGGTGAGAGAGTGTAAAGAAGTCCTGAAAGGCGGCCTTTTGATGAAGCAGTACTACCAGTTCATGCTGCAGGAGGTTCTGGATGACTTGGAGAAGACTGACTGCAACATCGATGCATTCGAAGAAGATCTGCATAAGATGTTGATGGTAAAGGAGAGAAAGAGATATTTCTTACATAAGTATTCCTAGTTGAGTGTGGCAGTATTTGAATTTGATACTCTCTGGTAGTAGATTACATTCATTTTATCTAAAGCTGCATTAAAAAGAAATCCTCAGTGGTTTTTCCTCTTTTTTTTTTTGTGACACCAGAGCTCAAACTTGGGACCTTGCATTTGCAAGGCAAGCAGCAGAACCATTGAGCTAAATCCCTGGCTCAGTGGTTTTTAAGTTGGCATTTCTCACAAGTCTTAAATTTATTGTTTAATTTTAGGGCAGTTAATTAAGGCCCAGAAAGACAATCAGAATATGATTCTGTTTTATTCATCTATCTGTCAATAGCCATTTTTTAATTTCCAGGAGAAGTGCTAAGGACCTTGCATAGCTCTGGAAATAGTGAAGAAGAACAAAAAACAGTTTGGTAAGGACCAGCCGTGGAAGATGCTGTCACCTGCACATGTCCATCCAGGGATAGGAAGAAGTAGGCTGAGTTGGTATCCCTGCCCTTGCGTAGGAACATTCAGAGGGTTCTCACTATGAGGAAGCCCAGTCTCAGAGATGAGCCAAAGGTTCCCTGAAGAACCTGGCACATTTTGAGGACTTCTGAATAGTTTGATGTGGCAAGAGTAGACCTGTTTTTATTTCTTCCCGTGAACACCTATCTTCTCATGTATGTTGTACTTACCCTGTGTTTCTAACATCTAGACTAGTGTTTGTATTCTTTCCCACTAGAAATGCTCCTCTTCATCCTTATCTGCTCACTAAAGGCTTACCTTCATGTTTTATTTTTTTCCAGAAGGCTTACCTGACAGTTTCAGCCTTTAAGCTTACATTTATCCCCACGTTCTTTGAACAGTAGTTGCAGTTATTAGAACTGTACTATACCCATAATATTTAAATAGACTTGTCTCAGGGTTCCATGGTTAGACTGAAAGCTTCTTGAGCCAGGGGCTATTACCTGAAATGCTTTCGTCTTCCATATTACATAGAATATTAATGTATAATAAGCACATGTTAGATTCACTAGGATAAATATGTAGATGATCACATAATATGGCAAAATGATGAATAATAAGAAATAATAATATAACCTGGTTGTGTATTATTTTGAGGATGCTCTTATCCTTGTTTGACAGCTTGCTGGGTCCTGCCTCTAGCTGACTATAGCCCCTCCAGGTGCTACCCTTTTCTAGCCAAGCACAAAGTTTTTTATGAGAGCAGTAAGAGCTATCGTGGAGGTCCCACATCTTGTTGGACAGATCTGTTGTGTGACCACGTAATTGTCAGTGGAGGCTATGAATTTACATACTAAGCACCTTCCCACTCTCAATAGTAAAAAAGGTAGAAAAAAAGAAAAGAAAAGGAAGAAAGTGATGGGGAATGGAATTTGTAATATCTGGCATATCCTGAGAAATAATTTTAATACACAAAAATCGAGTGTATAAAATGACTGCATTTTGAAATACTATGTCAGAAAAGTCTTTATTATTGAAAAGGTATGATGAAATGCAACACCACACAAATTATTTTTTTCTCTTTCTGTGGATAATTATGGATAATAGCACACCTGTATCCCAGCACTCTGGAAGGCTGAGGTAGGAGGATCGAAAGTTGCAAGCCCAGCCTGGGTGATTTAGTGAGACTTTGCCTAAAAATAAAATATTAAGAAGGGGCTAGGGATATAGCTTAGTATGAAGGCCCTAGGTTCAGTTCCCAGTACCACCACCAACCCCCCCAAACAAATAAACAAACAAACAAACAACATAAGTAAAAGTTCTTTGCTTTTGAACTTTAAGTAACTTCCAAAGGCATACCAAGTACTTTTTGTCCTTTAATGAGTTTAAGGGGAGGTGGGAGGTACAGATGGAGGGGCAGCAGGCAGGTGAATGTACCTCCTTTCTAAATGTGGTTTCCATGCTCTTAGTGTACCTGTCTGATGGAAGAGGCCTGGGGTAAGAGAATTACCAGCATTCACAGCTAATTTGTCTTAGAAAAGTGTAGAGTTTACTTTTGGCCTTGCTGTCCATGATGTACATGAATCAGAATGTATACTCGCATAGATGAAGAAACTGAAAATTATCAGTGGTTTAAAAATTGTGTCCTGTAGTGTGCTAGAAGGATAAGGACAGTGACATGTTTGAAGACCGAGAGAATCTCAGTAAAAGTCTGTGTTTCTGTTAGGAAAGAAGGGGAAAATGGCTCTTGGATAGGCAATCAAATGATGTTTACCACACATGCTTCTCTTGAAACCCACTAAAAAAAGCAAAGAAAAATATTTCATCTCTATGGTAACATTACACTCTTATTAGAAGCTAGTGGAGTCCTGTCTGCACGGTTCTGAGGAAGAGAGTGTGTGATCAAATATATTTTACCCAGTCTAGTAGGGCAGAAAATGCATAGACAGGGACTTTTTGTAATAGCTTTTGTGATCCTGTCTTGGGACAAAATGCTAGTAAAACCTCCTAACCAAAAGATAAGATGAGAACTTAGGGGTGGAAGAACTGTTCTTATAGGATTTGGGTGGGCATCAACCCCCACCTCAAACAAATGGATAGTGTGGTTATAGATCATAATTTTTATATAATAACCTTGAAAAAATTATATCACAAAAATCTAAGTATTAGGAAGGGATGACACAAAGTGTACTGATTTCCTTCCCTCAGTGTATAACTCTGCAGCTGAAATATGTAATTAAACAAAATATTAACCTCTTAAAAAATCATTTATAATATGTTCATAATGAACATTTCTAAGAGCTTTTTACTACATTATTTTGTTTTTCTGTACATTGTGAATGTTTTATTTGCATAGGAATTTGAAGGGTTGGGAATAATGTGTTAAATTGCTGAATAATTTTGCAGTTTTTTAAAAAATCCTTGCTTAGACATCAGCTGATAATGGAGAAGAATCTTACTTTTCTGTATTGCATGCTTTCATGGTTTTGCCCTTCATAGCTTTTATGTTAAGAGATGAAGTCATGAGTTACTGGATTCTACTCTCAAATATCTCCTTTTGTATTTCAAGGTATATTTTGATTACATGAGAAGCTGGATCCAAATGTTACAGCAATTACCTCAAGCATCCCATAGTTTAAAAAATCTGTTAGAAGAAGAATGGAATTTCACCAAAGAAATAACTCATTACATACGGGGAGGAGAAGCACAGGCTGGAAAGCTTTTCTGGTAAAAATCTTATGCTTTGGTACATGGGTTCCTTCCTTTCTCACTTTCTTCCTGGTTTGCCCATCAATCCTCTTTTGCACATTTGGATGTTCAGTTGTATGAAAATTACAGTCACTCAGGGCTGTGAAGTGTCCCCTCTTCCAAGTTTTGAGCAGTGGTTCTCAACCTGGGATGATTTTTTTCCCCCTTTCAGACACATTGGGCAATATTTGCAGGTGTGTGCTTGTCATGATGGGGAGCATGCTCCTGTTACCTAGTGGGCAGAGACCAAGGCTGCTGCTGCACATCCTGTGGTGCACAGGACAGGCCTCCACAGTGGAGAATTATCCACCCAGAATGGCAGGTTTGAGCTTGAGAAATCTTGCTTTAATGTAAACCTTTTTGATTTTGTTTTGTTGTTGTTATTTTTAATAAAAGGAGGAAGAATTGAAATCCATAAGTGTAGAATAGATCTTTGTGTTTCAGTCTTGGTGGTGACATTGAGCACCTAAGTATACATTTTCAGTGAGTGTTTGGAGAGTATAATCCAATCACAGCCTCTCTTTATAAACTGGTTTATGTACGGTGAAAGGCTAGGAACAGAAACAAGAGTGCTCTTGTGGAGGGTGTATAATCATGGACAGACTGCCTTTTTTAGGAAATGAGTGTCTTTCTTGGGTCAGGCTATTGAGCTCATGGGTAGTTCAGAAGGGTCTGTTGGTGGCCACTCTAGTCAGACTTGCTTTGACTAGCGGGGAGAGCACTGGATCCTGCTGCTATCTATAGGCACTGAAGTCTTCTGCTGGTCTCCTCAGCTCCTTGATTTCTTTTGTCTCATTTTTATAAGTGCATGCATGCCCAACTCACAAGCTCTTCCCTCCTCCTTGTCATGTCTAGGACTCTAGCTTCCATGTTAGATGTTCTTTGGACTCTAGCAACTCTTACTGTTCCCACTCTGTGTCCGGCTGGTATCTGGGAATCTTATATCCACTTTTCTGCCCATACCTCCAGTTCTTCCTCCATCCTGTCTTTATTTTGAGTAAGCAGTGAACTTGCTCTTGTTTCTTGACTCCTAGACCTTCAGGCTATGGTCCCCAACCTGACTCACTTTTCCTAGTTGGCTTTATTCCCATTTTCAACATCACTCTATCTATCTATCTGTCTATCTAATTTTGGTGTTTTAAGACAGTGTCTTGCTGTGGAGTTTAGTCTGACCTTGAACTCACAGCCCAGGCTGGCCTCAAACTCACGATGATCCTCCTGCCTCAGCCTCCCAGGTACTGGAATTATAGGAGTGAACCGCCACACCGGATTTCACCTCCCTTTAATGTCCCATAATTTTGCTTTGCCTGGCATTCTTTCTCTTTGCGTTTTCTGTTTCCAGCCTGTCAAGCTTCATTGAAAAAACTTGCAAAAGGCTCATACTTAATTTCACTACAGATCATATTAGGTCAGTGTTTGTGTCTTTATCTTTTGCTTGTCTTTCAGATTGCCTAGAGCATGGCTCTGGCCTCGCCTACAGGTCCTTTGCCCTGAGATGCTCCAGGGCATTTCCCTGACCTTCTTTTGGGCTGGGCTCTCTGCCCTTCCAGAGCCAGACTCCATTCCTTCTGCCACGTCAGAGTATCAACTTCTGCTGCATAGACTCTGTCCTAAGTTCTGTCTGCAGTGTGGAAGGAACTCTTGACCTTTTTTTTTTTTTTGGTACTGGGGATCGAACTCAGGACCTTGTGCTTATGAGGCAGGTGGTAGCTAAATCCCCAGTCTTTTTTTTTCTGACTTCTTTTTTGAGCATGTTGCTATTTCTAATCCTTATGGCTGTCCCTGAGGATAGATCCAGAATTGGGCCACTGCTTACCACTCCATGCTACCACTTTTCCCAACTTGTATTAATGCATTGCTCCCTAAGCAGCCCTCCTGCTTTTTTATTAGTACATATTTGCAGAACGTGAAGTTTACCTTCATCTTAGGGAGTAGGTTCATGTAAATAACACATTTTGATCCTTTTTTAAATCCCTTTCCCTCCCCACCCACTTTCCTCCCTCTCTGTCTTTAAATCTCTTCCATTTTCATTATTATTATTATTACTGTTTTTAGTTCATGTTTATGACATACAGTGTTTACATTCATTGTAAGCATTTGGTACATGTACATGACACATCTTAAATCTTTTCCTTCCCCTCACCCTTGGGTCTCCTGGACCCCTTCCTATTTGCAAAAGGTCCATCTCCCTATTTCCTTCTATCTGTCTTTCATTTTGCTCTTTATTTTACTTTGCCTTTCTCATCTTTATACCTATCCTTTATTTTGCTCTTTACTTATACTTCACCTTACTCATCCTTATATCTGTCCTTTATTTTGCACTTTATTTGTACTTTGCCTTACTCATGAGAGATATACTATATTTAAGTGTGTATGTCTGATTTTTTCACTTAACCTATTTCAGATGCATCCATTTTCCTACGCATGTCTTGAATTTATCCTTCTTTATAGCCAACTAGTATTCCATTATTTATAGATAACATATTTCTTTATCCATTCATCTGTTGATAAACACATAAACTGTTTCCATGATTTAGTTATTATGAAGTGTGCTTCTATAAACATTTGGTATGCATGTACCATTGTAATATGTCTTTAGCTTTCTGGGGAAGATATCTAGAAGGAGAAGATTTGGGTCAAATGGGATTTTTATTTTTATTTTTTTAGAAATCTCCATACTGATTCCCATAATGGTTGTACTAGTTTACGCAATGTAGGAGGGTTCTTTTATCAGTTTACCCATGCCAACATTTATTATTGATTTCTTGATGATTGTCTTTCTTTCTGGAGTAAGATGAAATCTTAGAGTTGTTTTAATTTGCATTTCTCTAGTGGCAAGAGAAGTTGAACATTTTCATATATTTATTGGCCATTTGCGCTACTTCTTCTGATAATTACAAGTTCACTTGCTCTTTTCTTGACTTAATCTTTTATTTTGGGTGATCTCATTTTTTTGAGTTTTTTTTTATATTCTAAATATTAGTCTTCTGAGGAATTGCTTACAAAATTTTTCCCCCATTTTATAGGTTGTTTCTTCACTGATTTTTTTCCTTTGCTGTACTAGAGCTTTTTAATTTGCTATAATCTCGTTTGTTGATTCTTGTTGTAACTGTATTTCTTGTGCAATTGGAGTTCAGTTCAGAAAGTCCTTGCCTTCGCCTATGACTTCAAATATTTTACCTATTTTATCTTCCAGTAGCTTACTTCTGTTTTAATGTTTAGATCTTTAATCCATTTTGATTTTAGTTTAATACATGGTGAGAGAGATGAGTCTAACTTCAATCTTATGTATATAGACAATTAGTCCTCCTGTGTCTACCTACAATCTCCTGTGGTTTATGCTCAACACGAGAGCCAAAGTGATATTGTTAAATGAGACCTTATGCCGGTGAGTCCATCTAATGAAAATGTCTAAGCAATGGCTACTGAGGCTGGACACAGTCTGACTTTCCATTAAGTCTTTGTCCTTATCTCCTACTCAGCTCTACTGTGCTTATTGTACTGCCACAGTGGCTTCCTTCCCTTCAGTTCTCACAGGCTGGGAATGCTTCTGCCTTGGGCCCTTTGTATGTGCTAGCTCCTTTACCTGGACACAATTATTTTCATGAAGTGATTTCCCACTTCCATTAGGTTTTTATCCAAATGTTACCTTCTCATCATATTTAAAATTGAATTTCCTACTCACCTACTCTTCCAAAGCACTAATAAATAACCTGAAATACTGTATATTTTTAAAAATTGGATTTATTCTTTATCCACTGGAGGGATTTTATCTGTTTTGTTCACTACTGTTTACTATATACTGGATGTAGCTGTTGATTAATCCACCCTGATATCCTTGTATGATACTCTTCTTAAAAGTGTGTTTCTAATCAGATCCCTTTCCCACTCAGATAGTATTTTAAAGCTTGCCTTCTTTGACTACCACATGATCAAACTAATTAGTGTGGCATCCAAGGCCGCCCACGGCATGGCCCCAGTTTGCTTTCCTGGTCCTATGCACCAGCCTGTGAACACCTGATCCTTTCAGATTGGGCAGTTTCATTTTTCACAGATAGGCCCTTGCTTGACACATCTTCAGCCCTAATTATATGTGTTGTTCTCTCTTTTCTTCCTAACAGATCCTCTCTTTTCACTGTTCTGTTGTATACATCTGCTTTTGCCTGCAAGGGTCGCTGTAGGGCTTTCTGGTCTGGAAGCCTTGTGCCTTCAACTGGTTTTTGTCTTTCTACTCTGACTGCACACCTAGCGCTGTTGTTTTTTACTAGGTCATAACTGCCTTTCCTTGACACTGCCCAGGCCGATATGCTCTTGCTGAATTTTTACAGTGCTCATTTAGTTTTCCTTTTTTTTTGTATACTTTAGTGTTCATTTTAATACTAGTATTTGGATTGTGTATTTAATGAGAAGGATCAGTTATATAGAGTATTTCATGTTTATTGACTCCGAAACAGCTGATTTTGAAGGAAATTTTTAATTTTTTAAACTTAATTTAATTTTATTTATTTAATTTTGGTGTTTTTGAGACAGGGTCTTGCCATGTAGTTCAGGCCAGCCTTGAACTCACTGTGTAGTCCAGGCTGGCCTCCAACTTGCAGAATCCTCCTGCCTCAGCCTCTCGAGTGCTGGTGTTGCAGGTGTGCACCACCATGCCCATCTGGAAATTTTTTAAAGTTGAAAGAAATTTACTTTGTTTTCCTAACATTTGAGGCATTTTACTATACCATTTTGAACATTTGTTGATGTTCAACATGTGTTGATGAAGTAATGCTTTTGTAATACTTTAAATACTTTAAGATTTTATGGTCTATAATGAAATACTGTGGTATTAGAACAAAGATAGATGCATGTTATAGATTTCTGCTTTTTCATGTTAATCCTGACTTTTATATTAAAATAAAATTCTTGTTTTTATACTATTGTAGCAAAAGCTGAAACGTTCAATTTTGGTACAGTTTTTCTTCTGTTTTATTTTTGTTACTTTTGTTTCCTTAGTGACATTGCAGGAATGCTGCTGAAATCTACTGGAAGCTTTCTAGAAGTTGGCTTACAGGAGAGCTGTGCTGAATTTTGGACCAGTGCTGATGATACCAGTGCCTCTGATGAAATAAGGTTGGAATTGCACTTTCTTTCCTGTTATGTTTCTTATCACAGGTAGTTTTATTTTCAGTAATGAGCCCAGGTAGAGTCAGCCTTGTTCAAACCCAATTGTGTCAGAGTGCAGGCATTTGGGTAGTGGAACTACAACGGGAACTTATTTATTGCTGTCTCATCTTTTCATGTGATCTCGTAGGGTTTTATGTGATACCTTCTTTGAAGGTGAACTTAGAATGCATTTAGCATAATAAAAACAATAATTTTAGAGAAAGGGGTAAAGTTGACTAAAAATGAGTAGAATTATGGAATGTATGTTATTAAGTTATGTTTTTGTCCTTTAAAACTTCTATAGTAGTACATTGGTACTTCTTAATAACATTTGATACATTTTTATTGTTTTTAGTTTTTAATTTTATTTTTTGGTACCGGGGATCGAACTCAGGTCCTTGTGCCTGCACAGCAGGCAGCAAAACCACTGAGCTAAATCCCTGGCCCTATTGTTTTTATACTTTGCTTATCTCTTCTTTTGAAATTTTCAGTATATGAAACCATGGCTAACTCATATGTTGAATTTCTGCAGTTCTATGCAGATTCTATTTGAGTTAAATAATTGAAATTGCCTTTTGTTTGTTTGTTGGTAGCATACCATAGATACCAGCATATACCTAGAGCCATTTTGTGGTCATGTATCAGTAATTTCATGATTCAGCCTTCATAAACTCTCAGATGCAACTCTTCAGAGCTAAAATGTTTTCTATCACTGTCTAGAGTTTATGAAAAACACATTTGGGGTTTCAGAACACTTGAGATGTCCTTGGGCCAGGGTTAAAGAAAGAAGTTCCCACATAGATTCTCACCTGGGAAAATACCGAATAACTAAGAGCTGGAGTGAATCAGTTCACATGTCTTGTAGTTTTGAAAATCTAACACTGTAGGTTTAAAATAAATGTGATAATTCAAGAAATTTAGGATGCTGAACTGGAGAATAGCCCTTACAATGCTCCAGTTATTTACTAGGGATGAATCTACAAGGGGCTGTATATATAGTGATGTGAGAGAGCTGACTTATCCTGACTGACTGTGCACATGTCTTCCAATCTTCTCTATGATATCTTAACTGCTGCCTTGAGATCAGCTGTGATGAGAGTGCAACACACACAAATCGACAGTCACCATGAGTCGACATTTGGGGGAAGCTCATTGTTAAGCATTTATCCGACTGCACTGTGTGTGTGTGTGTGTGTGTGTGTGTGTGTGTGTATGTATTAGATTATGAGCTGAGTGACAAGAATTTATCATAAACTCCAAGAATTACTATAGTGAAATCTTTATAAATTACCATTATTTGAAAATTATTAAATGTACCCTATTTATATCTATAAAACTCTGAAGAGCAGGCTGGGGATGTGGCTTGGTTAGAGTGCTTGCCTACCATATATGAGGCTCTCACCTCACAACCCCCCCCCCCCAAAAAAGAACAAAGCACAAAAACTGAGGAGCAAGCTTCTGCATATTTTCAATACATTCTTAATAAGTACTTGGTCCCATTGAAAACATCACAGTCTTTGTTACTTTGCTTTGGAATTTGCTTATCTTTGTGTTTGGTGCCTTCTGACTGGGCTTCTGTTCCCTGGCAGGAGGTCTGTCATAGAGATCAGCCGAGCACTCAAGGAGCTCTTCCATGAAGCCAGGGAAAGAGCCTCAAAAGCACTAGGATTTGCTAAAATGTTGAGAAAGGTGAGTTTATATATTGGGTTAATTATTATCTTTTTTGTTTTATTCTACTTTTTAAGAAAGCTAACCCTAAATAAGTTTCTTTGTAACTGTGACCCTAGGACCTGGAAATAGCAGCAGAATTTATTCTCTCAGCCCCAGTTAGAGACCTGCTGGATGTTCTGAAAGCAAAACAGTATGTTAAGGTAAATACCTAAGGTATTTTTTGCTTTATTCTAAACCATGCCCACTTTTTCATAAAGGTCCATATAATAAATATTTTAGGCCTTTCTAGGCTATCCATTGACCCCAGTTATAGGACTAACCCATACTCTATCAGTGTAAGAATTAGAAAAACATGGGGCCGGGGATTTAGCTGAGTGGCATGCCTGCCTTGCAAGCATAAGCTCCTGAGTTTGATTCCTGGTACCCACCCCGCCCCACAAATTAGAAAACCTTTTTCTACTTGATTTATTAACTTGTCTTAAGAATGTAGATAATCAAATATTTACTCATACTATTTAATATATTAATTTAATTATATATACACATTTAAAGTAATTTATAGGAAAACATAATATTGATCTAAATCACTTTTTCTCCCTTATATTTCCCAAAGCAATTCAAAGTTTATGTCACCATTTTTACTCCACTTTAAGTTGTAAGAATTTTAGCACTTTTGAAACATACACATATGTATGATGTTGTCACTGAAAATCGTATGCCAAACCCAGGCCTGTGTGGGAACTAGGACAGGATGTGTGGCCTTTATATCATCATATTGGTGTCCCTCATTAAAATGATCACTGGGAGGCTTTCTGTGAACCTCAAACTCAGGAGCATTTTCTCTGTGTTGAAAATAAAACAATGTAGAGCTGTTCTGTCACTGGAGAAACCCTGGAAGGACCTCCCACAGTCCAGGCTCAACCTGTCCCCTCCTTAAGTCACGCAAAGTCAAGCTCCTTGCAGTCCTCTTGCTGCTCAGATCAACACCTTTCCCTAATCCTCTACCTCAAACTTGCTTGTCTTTTTCTAGTTTGTTTTTTTTTGCAGTGGGGTGGGTACCAGGGATTGAACTCGGGTCCTTGCGCTTGTGCAACAGGCGGTGAAACCACTGAGCTAAATCCCCGGCCCCTCTAGTTTTTTTTAGTAACATATTTGTATATGTGCAGTGTCCCTTAATGTTAAATTGGATTATTTCTTTTCAGGTTCAGATTCCTGGGTTAGAAAATTTGCAAATGTTTGTCCCAGACACCCTTGCTGAGGAGAAGAGTATCATTCTGCAGTTACTCAATGCCACTGCAGGAAAGGACTGTTCCAAAGACCCAGATGACGTGCTCATAGATGCCTTTCTGCTTCTGACCAAGCATGGGGATCGAGCACGGGACTCAGACGATGGCTGGGGCTCATGGGAAGCACAGCCTGTGAAAATCGTGCCCCAGGTGGAGACTGTTGATACTCTGAGAAGTATGCAGGTCGGTCCTACTCTGTGCCTCTTCCAGCTATATTATTTACTTGAAATACTGTACTTTTAGGAAAACTGAACTGTTAGCTGCTCATGAATAATTGTTTTAACAGCCCTTCTAATCTCAGGCATGTCCTTATCCACAGCATGCCACTGTGATCTACCATATATTTTCAGGATAATTTGTACTAAAATATTTCATCAAGTTCTATTAAGTATAGTATGTTGAATTGCACTGGAACATTTGAAATAATATATGTATTTTATTTATATCTTAGTACAATCATATATTACATCTAAAGACCCGTGATCTAAAAGGAATTATCTTAGTAAAATTATTATGATATAAGAAATGATCTTACTTATGCAATTTATAGTTCCAAAAATCCCAGTTCCCTAAGTAGTCTGGCTTACTCATGTATTTAGTTTTCATTTTTATAGTAAAGGCTGACATCTACCTACCTAACAAGGATCCTGGTCAGTTTATGTAACCTAATTAAGACTGTAAGGAGCTTTTATATGTTATTTGTGTCGGGCTTGGTGGTGGTTAATGGTCATGCTCATCTCACATGCAGGCACTATCACTTACCACGCCACAGGACTACTCTTTCTCCTGCATTCCTTGAGTGGATGGTGTGCTGCCCACTGCCTTATTAAGCCAGAAATGTGACAGTGAATATAAATTTAGGCTCCCACCCTCCCAGTTAATCACTAGCTATGGCAAGCTGGCAGTGTGTGCAGTAATTGATCCTTTCCCCACACCTCCAAGCCACTGCCATGGTCAGATGTCGTCATCCCTTTCCTGAACTATTGCAGTTTCTTACTTTTAGTTTCCATACTTCAAACCTCACCCACCCTCCTCCAGTATAGGTTTTGGTTGTTTTGGTACTTTCAGAATGATCTTTGTTTTACAAAGCTCTGCTTAAATTAGTGCAGTGAGTTCATCTCTTAAAGAATAGAAATAATATGGTCTTGATCTCTTAATGAGCCCCCTCATCTGATCCCACTCTTATTCCTGGCTTTCCTGTCTTCACACACATGCATGCACACACTGCATCAGCAGTCCTAGCCCACTTGGAGGTCTAGACTATTTGAAAGCTGTCATGCCCACACAGTCCAACATGCTTCTCCACTGTACTGAAGAGCCTGAGTGTCAGTATCCACTGCAGTGTGTTGCTCAGGAGGGGCAGCTTTGCTGGCAGATGACTGGCTGTTGGTCTGGTATCCCTGAGGTTGGTGTTGTTTTGGGGCAGTTTGTTTTTGTGGTTGAACTATAGTAGGAAAGTTGTCACCAGTCTGCTTTTATGCCCTATGTTTGGTTTTCTTTCCAGGTGGACAATCTTTTACTAGTCGTGATGCAATCTGCTCATCTCACAATTCAGAGAAAAGCCTTCCAGCAGTCCATCGAGGGGATTATGACGCTCCTCCAAGAGCAGACATCCAGTCAGCCAGTCATCGCCACAGCTTTACAGCAGCTCAAGGTACTTTATTGTCCCCTGCCCTGGAGCAGAGGTCTTTGCTTTGGGTATCATACTGTGGAAGATTTGAGTGGTGTCATAGGATGTCATTTGAAGAACTTGAGCTCTTAAGTTGTATCCCCAAGTACACATTTTTCCCATGTTTAGTTAGGGAAGAAATTCCTGAATCTTTCCTGGAACTGTAGAGCTGTAGAGTTGGAAAGGATAGAAAATTGAGTAATTCTTTAACTATAATGATCATGTAGCTGGTTAGTAGCAAAGCTGAGACTGGAATTTAGGTCTCTTCGTATCATATGTAAATTTAGCTTCCTTCTTTAGCAGTTTCCAGTTTTTCCCATAGCAATAATGTTTATTTATTCCGTTATTTTACAAATAATTCAGCCGAATTAACTATGATAGAAAAAACAGTTGTAGATAAGCACAAAGGCCTTTGAAGTCCATGTCAAGTCAGAGCCTTGCCTTCTTTTCCCTTTGTTTCTGTTTTCACCACTTTCTATTTTTTACCACATTTATTAGTCCTGGTTCATCTACACTTTTCCACAAGCCATCAGTTATGTCTTCTCAGTCACCTTCTTGAAGAAGCAGTCCCTGAAAGTACTGATAAACATTTGTTTTTCTTCTCTTAATCTGATGTGTCTTACTTAATGTATAAATCTCTTAAAATTTGCAATCCTGCTCTCATACCAAAGTGGGGGACATTTGTCTTTTGCTTTGAGCCAGTGAATTCTGGAGCATACAAGATTTTATGAGTTGATTATTCTTGAACTTAAGGAGTTTATGGCCCTAAGGGCCTAAGCTGTCACGCTTACATACAGAAGAGAGAGAGCTTAGTGCCTTCTAATAGCATCTGGGAATTCAGCTTGGGAGGATGCATACTGGGAAGGAACTAACAAAAGGAACATTTGAGTATTGCTTTCAGTGGATCAAGGTTATGGGCCTGCTGCCTGGCTATCACATGGTCTGATTTGGCTGGATCTTCCTACCCAGTGGAAAGTAATGAGATAAGAGTGTTGAAATAAAGTAGGCACAATTTTTTTTTTTTGTATTAAATTCTTTTATTGGTACATTGTAGGTATACAACACAATTACATTTCTCATTGGGAATTGTACCTTTATATAATGCATCTTGGTTCTTATTTTTTCCCCATTCCTAGCCCTCCCTTCACGCCCTCCACCCTTCCCTATTTACAAAGACTTTATTTCCATTTTTTCCATTTCTCATCATTTTTTCCTTTCCCTTCATTCCTTTCCCCTGCGCCTCCCACTACCCCTACCCCTTTGGACCTTTTATTCCTATTTTACATTATCGATTATTCATTCTAATCATTGGTACATTTTAGGTATACAATATAATGACATTCATCATTGGAAATTTGCACCTTTACATAGTCTCTCTTGGTTCTTATTTTTCACCGTTGCCCAGCCCTCCCTTCAACCCCTCCAGCCCTCCCTATTTACAAAAATTTTGTTCCTATTTTTCCATTTTCTCATATTAATCCCATTCCCTTCTATCCTTTCCCCTAGACCTCCCACTTCCTTCCCCTTTGCCCCTTTTCTTCCTATTTCACATTACCTATTATACATTTAGTCCTTATTTACACTTTCAGTTTCTCACACCAGAGAAACTATTCGGTATTTACACATGTGTGTCCTATCTATTTCACTTAAGAGTATCGCCTCAATGTGCATCCACTTAGCTATACATGTCTCTAACTTCTCATTTTTTATGAAGGCACAATTTTATTTGTTGAGAGATAGTAGATTTTTTTTTGCTAAGACTCAGGGAGTTGTTGAAGATTTTGGAAGAATATTTTGTTAACAGTATGTGGGGGTGATAGCCTGATAGATAACTATGCATACACAGGTGTGTTTAAGGACAGATGGGAAGGGAGACAAAAGCTTGCGTTAGGCCCAGGTTTCTTAAACCCTGTACTACTGACATTTGAGGCCAATAATATTTTGTTGTCAGGGAGGTGTCCTGTCTTGTGCGTTGTAAGATGTTTAGCAGTATCCCTGCCCTCTACCTACCAGATGCCAGTGAATTCTGCCTTTTCCTCATTTTAATAACCAAAGCTATGTCCAGACATTGCCAGTAGTATCTCTGGTGGTTGACACACAAAATACTGAAGATGCAGCATCTATTCAAAGATAGGGTGTAGTGGTGCACACCTATCATCCTAGTGTTTGGGAGGCTGAGGCAGGAGGGTTACCATGAGTTGAAGGCCAGCTTGGGCTACATAGTGAGTTCAAGGCCAGCCTGAACTACATAGCAAGACCCTGTCTATAAATAAATAATCAAAATTAAAAATAGCAAAGACCAAATTGTAATTTAGCATTATTTTAAACAGACTTGTTTCATAAGATGTTAAAAAATGCCTAATGCAAATGAAAATAATAGTTTCCTCTGTATTTCGTTCCTTTGACAACTAAAACAAATGTGGCTGGAATATATTGTAGTGGTAAATGTCTGTGTGATGATGAATGAAACATTCCTGTAAAATGCAGTAATTGCTGTGTAATTTGCTTGATGGGATTCTTCAGAATGATGCACTAGAGCTATGCAACAGAATAAGTGATGCCATTGACCGAGTGGACCACATGTTCACATCAGAATTTGATGCTGAAGTTGATGAATCTGAATCTGTCACACTGCAGCAGTATTACCGAGAAGCAATGATTCAGGGGTACAATTTTGGGTTTGAGGTAGGTGTAAAAGAAGAGGAAAAATGTAGTACAGTTTGGTAATTGCTTTGTAGCTTACTTACAGAAAGTATTATGAATCTTATATAGCAAATTAATTGATATTAATTATAATTATATCTTAGTGAAGAATGCCAGCTTACACTCCTGCTGGGTATCAGAAATGTTAGTTTTCTTTTTAAACTATCATATAGTTGCTGAGTTATTTTTGTGTTAATAGCTATCTGCTGCATTTTAAACTTTCTTTTAATGTTTAATATTATAAAATCTCATTCTTAATGTAAACTTATGAATAAAACATGAAACTTTTTTGACACATATAGTTTTTCAAACTATTCAGAATATATAGATTTTAATTGGATTTTGCTTTATTAGAGAATGACATTTTAAGCCAACACTATAGTGTGTAGGTATTATTATTATGGTTTTGTTCTTAATTTGGATGTACATGACATCTTCTTACAGTATCATAAAGAAGTTGTTCGCTTGATGTCTGGAGAGTTTAGACAGAAGATAGGAGATAGATATATAAGCTTTGCCCGGAAATGGATGAATTATGTCCTGACTAAATGTGAAAGTGGTAGAGGTACAAGACCCAGGTAATGACCAAATCTTTATCCTGCATGAGTCCTGTGGAGTTGATAGTATTTTGTTCCTGTATGTTATATGAGATTTCTGAGCAAACAACAACAAAAAAGAGCATTATAAACTTTGTAGTGATCAGAGATTTTGTTTTGTTTTATTTTAATGAAAATATATAAACAGCGAACCTCACAACTCTTAGGGAACTTATATTTTTAAAAAATGATGAGCCCAAACTGAGTTATTGTTAAAGGAGTTCACATAATCCATGAGCAAGTCTTCCTGATTGCGGATCTCTTTTGTCTGTCATATTTAAGCCTATTGTGTAAATGGGAAACAAATGGGTAAACTTTACCTAGCAATAATCCATTTTAGAATTTTTAGGGGGAAAATATAAAACATCTGTGTTGCTCACTAGTAACTACACTAAAGTAAACATGATTATTAAAGTATTAAGAATTAAAAATTAGCTGGGTATTCTGTAAGTTGTACTGGAGGGACATCACGGGACACTTCAGTGCCATTTCCAAGTTAAAGAAACACAAGTCCTACAATGAGGATTAAAAGTAGGAACATTTCTTTATCTTATAAATGTTGAAATATAAATGAGCACCATCTTCTAATATCTTCCATTCATCTCAAAGTAAACATTTTCTTAAAAAGACATTTTGTGTTTTTCCCCAAAAGGTCACACTATAACTTACTTCAACCTAGGCATTTATCTAAAACAAAAAAAATTTTCTCTATAAAATATAATAATTTTCCAATTGTATTATTTTCAATATTGTATAGTCTAAGTGTTACAGCATTTTCTTGGTTGTTTTATAATTATTGAACATTTTCATATGACAGGTGGGCAACTCAAGGATTTGATTTTTTACAAGCCATTGAACCTGCCTTTATTTCAGCTCTACCAGAAGATGACTTCTTGGTATGGAATATTTGAAACTTTTTTTCTCATTAAAAACAAACAAATTGATCATTTCTTTTCCTTGATTATTTATTTTTAAATAAATAATAGTGGTTCTTAAATGTTTTATGTAATTATAGCAATGATGTTGAAAGGTTACAGCACTCAGTAGCATCATGAGATTTTTAGTGCTCTTTCTATAACAATAGTGTTCAACTGACTAAGTCAATGTCTAGTTATAAACCCTGGCACTTCTAAAATATGAGTTTCTCAGGCTGGGGATTTAGCTCAGTGGTGCCGCCGCCTGCTTCGAAAGCTCAAGGTCCTGAGTTCGATCCCCAGTACCAAAAAAAACCCACCTTAAAATGTGAGTTTCTCTATTTTATAAACTGTCAGCTTCATTGATGCTTTTTGGCAAGTTAATGAAAAATAAGGATTAACTGTATCACTTAAATGTCCATCATTTGAGAGCATAATGCCAGTATTATTACTGTTCTAATAAATTCCATGAAGTCTGAAAGATAGAAGGTAAATTCATTCATTTTTATCCTCCCAGTTGTAGAGATGATTATATGAAAAGTCCTTTGCTTATGTATATCATTTTGTTATGAAAGATTGATTACTATTTTACTTTTCTTTATGAAAACAATTTTATGCTACATTTTAAATTACGTATAATTTGTTTACTTATACTGTACATATTTTTAAACTAACTTTGAAATATTTACTGAAAGTAGCATGTCTCTTAAATACAGTGAAAACCTATTGTGTACCAGTTCTATAATTAAGAGTATACATTTTTTCCCTTCTCTTTTCCATTTTCCTTTTGTATCTAGAGTTTACAAGCGTTGATGAATGAATGCATTGGCCATGTCATAGGAAAGCCACACAGTCCTGTTACAGGTTTGTACCTTGGTAAGACCAGCTGTTACAGCATTTTTCCTGGAACATACTGGTTTGGATGAACAAACTGTCTTTTGGTTGTGGCCATTTATAATGGTATGAGAGGTCTTTTTAAGAATATGTAGACAAAAGACAGTGAAAGTGACAGAAATGAGGTATGTATGTAGCATACTCTATAGTAATCTTTCTAAACCCAGCTAGAAGATGGAAATGCAATAAGATATTCTATGTTTAACCAACAAGGTTAAACTGTGGGTTTTTTCCCCTCCCTGTATCAACACCACCATTCTCCTTTCCTTCTTGAAATCTTTGCTTATGAAGGAGAAAAATTAGAAGAGGTAAGTGTTTGGCAGACTAGGAGGCACCCATGGTGCAGGTGGATAAGTAATTTTTCTGTACCTTCTTATCTCTTAAAGGAGGGGAACATTCATTTTCTCCACTGTTTTCGTAAGTACCCATTTCCCCACTCCTTGTAGTAAATTCTGATTTGGTTTTACCTTTTAGACAATCAAGGTATATAACATACACACAAATATACATTAATTATAGTTTTTAGTTATACTTAGTGTAGTTTCAAAGTATATGTTCAAACTTTAAAAACATATCAAGAAAAGGCTATGTCTTTTGCCGTTCTTGGTATAGTGTATAAATGAAAATTTATATGTAATAAATACTCAAAAATGAAAATTTAAGATCTGGGGATGTAGCTTAGGTGTAGAGTGCTTGCATAACATGTGTGAGGTCATGGGTTCAATTACCAGCACAGAAAGAAAGAGAGAGAGAAAGAGAGGGAGAGAGAGAGAGAGAGAGAGAGAGAGAGAGAAAGAAAACTTAGAAATACTATACAATTTAAATTACACAAGAAATAATTCATAAATGGTGAATTTATTGAATACTATATTTCATAAAGGATACCTACTAGCTACAGAAAATTTAGTGTAAGAACAGATTTTAATCACTGGATATTTTTAACTTTTAAAATTCATTCAGTTTATACAAAGTCTCTTCTCCCAAAGCTGTTTTGGAAATGAAAGTTATTGTAAAGCCATTTGAGCAGTTATGTGAAACAAATTATATTCTTACCAAATTTTTGCTTCAGCCTGTTATAGATTGTTTTTCTGGTGTCTTAAAATATTTTTCTAAGAATATATGATTAGTAATTCTGTAAAAATTGCTTCTTAAAATGTTTTATTACGTAAGTAATTATTTCTTGAAAAAAAATTACAAAATTTTTTGTAGAAAAATGTAAACAGTGTACATGTAGGAAACCTTTCAATGTAGAAAAATTTACAAAAGACAAAAATGAAGGTAAGCATCAGTAACATTTGAGTTAGTGATCTTTTGATATGCCTGTCACTCCAAACTGTTTGTGGGACAGTTATTTAATAGCACTCTTTGTAGGCTGAAGTTGTCCTTTGTTCCCTCAGCTACTATGGGGTGGTTGAATTGAACTCAGAGTCAGATTGCCTGATAGCAAGTGACCTGGGCTGCTCATTTAACCTCATTGAGCCTCCCCTGTAAAGTGGGATGCTAATGAAGAGTAAATTAGGTAATAACATTTTGTAAACTCTAGGATCCCATATACAATAGGGATCATCTTTTGATTTTACATTCTCTTCTTACAAGAGAATTGTTATAGTTGCTTACTTCTTTTCCTTTTGCTCTAAACACTACTACTAATAGCCTGGTATATAACCTTCCATGTTTTCTGTTTATCCACATAACAAACACATTCTGCCCTACCTTTCTGTATGCTCTATAATCATACAAGCGTATATAAGATTGTTTTTCTCCCATTTACTGTAGATTGCCTGGGTTATTAATCTTTCTTAAAAATCTGACAGTTGTAGAAGTTTTCCATGTCAGCAGGTATGGATCTACTTCATTCTTTACAGTGGCCACATTGTGGCCATCATTGATGTACTATTACTCTTCCTTCCACTCTATGGGCTTTTGTTTGTCATGGCCATGAAAAACATCTCTCTAATAAATGTTCAACACTAGTGAAATTTGAATGTCTCTTTTGTTTGTTGGCCATTTGGATTTTTCTTTCCAATAAAATGTTAGCTTTGCAACATTAAACATACTCTTTATACTCTTAAAATGTATTGTTTCATATATAAAGAGTATTAAATTTGAGTATATTTAGTTTTCTTAACAGAATGTCTTTATATCTTCATGAGAAAATTTTGTAATAATTTTTGACTAATTCTCAGTATCTTTGCTGGATCAAAGCAAAAATTAAAATTTATCCTCATCAAATAATTTTTGTTCTTTTTCTTTTTACCTTTTTACTATTTAGTTGAGAAAATCCACCAGATTTCCTTACTTTCTTACCAGTTGCTTGATTTTTGTTTTGCCAGGTTTGTAAGGCAACCTCAAATCTTTCCAGTTTCAGTACTTCTGTGCCTCTTGTATGATGTTATTAAAAAGAAACAAAACCATGAAGAAAGAGAATTTCCATTTACAATAAAATGTTTGTGAACTAAAATTATTAATGCATGACAAGAAAATACAACATAAAAAGATTTGAAAACCTAAGAAAGATTAAACCCTACAGTTAAAAGTATAAGTAAGAGAAAAATATGTTAGAACTGGACAAAATATAACAAATGTCCATTGCTATTTACAGTTGGTTTTGAGGAAAGTAAAAGTATTAGCACTAGTTAAGATCACTAGTTTTTAAATTTCCTGTAAGATTTTATCTGTATTACCCTTTTGCTAGAATGTTTAAAAGAAGAAAAGAAAACATATTCTGGAGGGAAAAAAAAAACCATGCAATTAAATTGTTTGGCTTAAAGGAATTGAATAAAACTTCATGTACTCAGGAAAATGATCCCAACATAGGACCTATTGAAATGGCTATAAGACCAAAATCTCTAAAATGGGTTCAGTCATAGCATACATTATATGTAGTTCACTACAGGTTTTAAAAAATGGTTTAGATGGAGAAAAATTTGAATGTATAATAAAGCTTTATTAACTTAAAAGTGACATTTTTCATAATATTTGTATATTTAATTGAATTTTCTACTTGGTTATTTTGGTCACTGGCAAGATGAAGTGACTTGATTTACATTTAATGGCCTGATTTGATAGTTTTCTATTGACCACTTTAATAAGTTCCACTTGTTGCCATTTTCACTGGCAGCCATTCATCGGAACAGCCCCCGTCCTGTGAAGGTACCTCGATGCCATAGTGACCCTCCTAACCCACACCTAATTATCCCAACTCCAGAGGGATTCAGGTATTTGGTGCTTTTCCAGTTATTTGCCTTATGGATTCTTCTCTGATATGCTTGCTGATGCTCTTGAAACAACCGACTACTTGATCTGAGAGCCAAATGTTTTTTTCTGTCTTCTTATTCGTATGCCTTTAAAAGCTCTTATTTGCATTATCTTGAAGACCTAACAATGCTTTAGTTGCAAAAGAAAAAAGATATGCAAATTTTAAACAAAGCTATACCTTTCAAGATAACTCTCTCAGCTTCTTCATAACCTTGAACTACTAAATGCTTTCTGGCTTTAAAGTAATTCTTTCCTTTTCTTTCTTTAAAAATTACCTTAGGAAAATAGATTTACCTGTGCATATAGCACAGTAAACATTTGGAAGATAACACTAAGCATCACTAAAAATGGAGAAAGTTGGAATGATCTTTCCATTCCTGACTTTTGAGTGTAACATTGAAATGAGTTCAAAAACAAATACATTCACAATAATTTCCTTGAATGTGGTGGCATTTCTGCATCTTGGAGTAGTGAACATCCTCTCACCCTTACAGAATTACTCGTAAAAGTTAATTTTATTTGACGGGGTTTGCTAGGTAAGGACCGCATTATTTTTTTTATAACCTTTGAAAATATTTTTTTTGCCATGCTTAGACCTGAATCTCAGAAAATTATATTTTATTTTACATATTTTCACTTCCTTGCCATGTTTTATTTTTAATTGAAAACCATTTGTGAGTCCATGCCCTTTTCTCACCAGTGTTCCTGAAGCTTTTCTTCTTGTCTTAGCACTCGGAGCGTGCCTTTGGACACGCGGAGCCATGGCAGCTGTGCTGCTGCTACTGCTGTTGCTGCCGCCGCTGCTGCCACCACCACCACCGGTCGCCCTGGCCCTTTTGGCGGTGACCCTGTGCCGCCCAAACCTATCAGCACTGCCCCTGATACCAGGTAGTCTCACTTCACCAGTGTCATGCCTCCTTGCCACCCCTCCAGCCCTTCCACAGGGACCTTAGCTTTAGGATGTGTTACAGGGCACAGCTGGGCTTCTTTCTTCTGGTATGTGACTGATGTTCAGGGGCTCCCTAGGGGTTGTCTCAGCCCCTAGGCTCTGGCACCAGCCAGCACAACCAGACTGTTATTTGTCTGGTGTTAGTATTTTTTAGATTCAGTATTAGCCAGAATGATCAGAGGCTCTGCAAGTAGTAGCTCTGTGGAGAGAGTATGAGAGGAAAGAAATAGAAGGGGATATGACACTGTGGCTAACTGAGCCTTTTCTGAGGAGACACAAGGTAATGCAGAGATGGTGTCCTATCAATTATGTGGGTGATGATTGTTATTTTAGGAGAAACCGTTTTCTAACCGGATTTCCTAATTTTAAAAAACTGTTGATTAGAAGTAGTTATATAAAATTGAAAAGACAAGTTCGTGGGGTTTATATATATTTGGAAATAGATCATTACTAGAAAGAACTGCCAGACATTTGATAAGCTCCAGAAAGTTTAAGTATCTTGCAGTAAGTCTTTTGTAAGGAGAGACTTGCAGGTTTTTGCATTCTGCTTACCTTTTAGCAGAGGATTTTTATCAAGTTCACATTTACTTAATGGAGAAAGAATCTTTGGTCTCTTAATTTTACCCTGTATTTAAGTAGATTAGTATTCTCATCTTCCAAAAAAGGTGTATACAAAAGTATTCAGATTGGGTGTGATTTAATCACGAAAGATGAAATTGTGACAACTCAATGCTCTGTTTAGCTCATGGAAAAAATATTAGTATAATAGTTGGCAGGAGGGTTATTTATGGCTTTAGAATTTAAAAGACAAATGTATTTAGACTTATTTTAATAACAGCTAAAATTTCTACAAACATTTCTAGTATTTTTACTCATAAATATTTCTAACTTTCATTGATAAGTGTCTCTAACCTTAAAAATATCAAAGTATTTCACTGCTTAAGCAGTCACCTACAAAAAAAAAAATTAACAATTAACGTTGAACCAGATTCCCATTTACCCTCTGTGTTTTTGTTTAGGGATTTATTTATTACATGTTTAAGGATTTATTTTCACATGGGCTTCCATATCCTTGTGGGAGCTGCTGAGCTTATTGTTTTTTATAAATTCATTACACAGTCAGGGAAGTGTATCAACCACAAGTGCAAAGTAGTTGAAAGCAGTTTGTGGTGCCCAGTTTCACACCTACTGCATTCATGTTTGTGAGGTTATCCAGGAAAGGAAAGGCAAGAGGATATCTTGCTTTTTAAAAGGATGAGGAAACAAACATAACATATTTTTCCAAGTATTAAGAAATAGTACATGAGATGTGTGTGGATTTTTTCCCTCTCTACTAAAGACTGAACCAAAGTTGCTTCTACCACTCACCTACATCTGCAATCATAACATTCAATATATTTCTATCACATATTGATCTAGGTATTTGTGTATCATTATATATGTAAATGTATATATACTTTTGACCCAGGATCTAGCTAAGTTGACCAAGCCAGCCCAAAACTTTTTTGCTTTTAAAATTTATTTCTCTTTCATTTGAATATAATACAAGTATATATTAAGAAAATATAAAAGCTGTTCTATTTATTTGTGTATCATTGTATATGTGAATGTATATATACTTTTGACACAGGATCTAGCTAAGTTGACCAAGCCAGCCCAAAACTTTGTTTTGCTTTTTAAATTTATTTCTCTTTTATTTTAATATGATACAAATATATATTAATAAAGAAAATATAAAAGCTAAAAAAAAAAGGTTGAGGAACTGTGAGTTAATGTGTTTAAAAATACCCACAGTTGGCCGTTGCAGGCATTCAGTCTTAGGCTTTGCATAAGTAGTTTTCCAGCATATTATGGGTAGTATTTCATAAGTATTTGTCTTACATTTGCACATACCTGGACCGTCCTTGATGGCTAGGAATTTTAATAGCATCATAGTCTGCTGTCTCAAAATTTATTGTTTTACAAGAGACCAAAGTGTATGACATTGTGTATATGACTGTAGGTAGAGAAGAACAAAGTCACACAAAGGTGTCCTAGGGCAGTGATGGCGAACCTTTCAGAGCTTTCAATGATACAAACAGCCTGCTGTGGCGGGTGTGCAGTAGGTTTGCCACCGCTGTCCTAGGGGATGGTTGCAAGACTCCCCTTGCACTCAGCCCTTGAGCTTGGGGGCTCACATTCACCCCGAGCCTCACCTTCCCAGTGACCCGAGGGAGTGGGCCGTATATGTTCACTGCTACTGAAGTTTACTGTGCATATCCCAGAGACTGAGTCTCATCATAGCTATGGGCTTGCCAACCAGTGTGCTTCAGGGAGACACAGTAACACAAGTGCCTTCTGGTGTCAGCCTACTGTGTGCACTCTACCTGTCTTGGAGTAACACTGATGACTTGTAGTGTCAGGCCACAGTATGCAGCTTTTACCTATCTTAGGGATATAGTAACTAAAATTCATTATTAATTGGTCAGATTTTATTCTAGGAATAAATCTATTCTGGGGAATAGGAAATATCTATTCTGGGCTTCAATTTTCTTATCTCTGTTTATGAAAACATTTTTGCAGTGTGGGCTTGCTGGAGTCAGCTCCCAACTGATGCACAAGAGCTGTTGGTTAACTTTCAGCTATTTTACAAGCTGGTTGTTAACACCACTGAAGTCTGGAAATTCTTAAGACCAACCTCCTACCCCTCATATCCCACCTTACAGGTAGATATTAGACATCTACAAATGCACCACTTTGTTTAAGCATGTGTTCTGGCCGTTTACCCTGGCAGAAATCTCTAAAGAACGTAGAATTGACTGGATTTTACCACAAAAAATCAAGAAGTAGAGATATTGAGTAACTTCTCCATGGCCTCACAGTCTTTGGCATTGCTTATATGTCTTCACTTCAGCATCAGTGGCTTTACCATCAAATAGGGCCAAAAATGTTACCCTTTCTTCAGACTTAACAAGAACTATACAGGGTTTGAGGGTTTAGTGATATATAAAAATAGTGCATATTTCATAATCTCAATATAGTATAATTTCATAATTTCAATGCAGTATACTATATTGCCTTCAGCCTAATAGGCTGAAGTTTAAATGCCTTCAGCTTAATAAAAAAGAGCATAAATGCTACCATACTTCATTATATTATTTGCTAAAAATATGTCCAATAACTTTTTAATAAGCTAATGCTATATGTTGAGGTTTTGGATTATTTGAATTGCAGTTTAACCCTTCCTCTTACTTAATCCTAGTTTTTATTCATTATGAGTTCATCTGGTGGCTAAACATTTAACTTTGTTCTGGAAAAGCAGCTAATTAACTTTGTTCTTTAATATTTTAAGCCTCCTGCTCTTCTGTACTTTTGCTTGGCTATTGCTTGAGAAATCATTAGATATTCCCTTCTATTTTCTTATTATCTGGAGATTTGGAATCTGTTGGCACTATGTAATGATTTTAGTATTTTAAATATAATTAAGTACATAAATATAATTTGATGGTAACCTTAAATACTGGCCACATTTGGATAATGGATTTTTGTCTATCCTGGGCTTAAATTGTGGAACTTTCTATGCATTGCATGTCAGTCATACTTTAGTAAATAGGGTTTGTTTTTATTTCTGTTGTTGTTTATGTAAAACAAGGTACTATACTCTAAGCAGGTGCTGTGGGCTAGCCTGCTGGATATGAAGGGATAACAGTGGGGAACTCTCTAGTGGCCTCCAAAGTGGGGACCACATTTTTTTAATATTAATTTTATTGGTACATTTTAGGTATACAATATGATGACATTCATCATTGGGAATTTGTACCTTTACATAATATATCTTGGTTCTTATTTTGTTCCCCCTTCCCCTGCCCTCCCTTAAACCCCTCCACCCCTCCCTATTTACAAAGATTTTGTTTCCATTTTTTCTTTTCCCTTCTTTCTTTTCCCCTACCCCTCCCAGTTCCCCTTTGCCCCTTTTCTTCCTGTTTCATATTATCTATTATAACTTTTGATCCTTATTTACACTTTCAGTTTCTCACACCAGAGAAACTATTCTGTATTTACACATGTGGGGGACCACATTTCAATGGCACCACTGTTCATTTGAGTGACCGGTTCTTGTGGGGCTGTCCTGTGCATTGTCCACTGCCCACTAGATGCCATTTACACCCTCCTAGTCATGACAGTCCAGTGTCTACACATTGCCACATCCCTGTGTGGCAGCACTGTCTCTAATTGAGTATTGGGTCTAGAAGAATCTCACAAATCTTTCATATTGAATTTCATTAAATTGACAGTTGAATTGTTAAAAATATTAAAACAGGGGTTCCAGCGTTCCTGAAAATGACCGGTTGGCTTCTATAGCTGCTGAATTGCAGTTTAGGTCCCTCAGTCGTCACTCAAGCCCCACAGAAGAGCGAGATGGTAAGTGTTTATAAAGTTACCACCTGCTTTCTCCCTACCCTTGTCATATGCCTTAGCCTGCCAGTTTCTGTTGTTAACACCTTTAAAAAGAATGAAGGAAAAGAAGCAACGTTCTTGGCTTTTTAAATAGATGCCTTTTAGCTGTCTGTATATTTTAGATCTACTTTTGTTCCTTTTTTTTTTTCCATTTAGTTTATTGGTACATTTTAGGTATGCAATACAGTTACATTCATCATTGGGGTCTTGTACCTGTACATGACGTATCTTGATTCTTATTTTTTCCCCATTCCCCTGCCCTCCCTTCACCCCCTCCACTCCTCCCTGTTTACAAAGACTTTGCTTCCATGTTTTTCCTTGGGGAAAGTGGGAGGGGAAGGGGAACGGAAAGAAGGGAAAAGAAAAAATACTTTTGTTCCTTTAAAAAAAAAATTCCAGGTATTTTAATTGTTGAATACTCTTACTCATTTTAAAAATGCAAAAGTAATACCATGTTTGTTGGTAATATGCTGAAGTTATGTTCTGTTGCAGCCCTAGGGTCTCTGCTTGGGAACCCTGTCCTTTTTCCTGTTATGGCAAGGTGGAGACTTTTGAAACCAGCCTCTTAAATGAGGTCCATAGGAATGCATTGTTTGCACAGTGTTCAATTATCTGTTACTTCTGGAAAGTTTAATGATTTCTTAGTTTGCTACAATTTTATAGAATTTATTGTAGAAACATACCAAACACATTAGGAAGAAATCATCAGAAAGGAGGGGTTGATGGTAACTATTACCGTTTATCATTTCAGTCTTGCTCTTGAGCATATTTTTTCCATAAATCTTAGTTCATGTGAAAAAATACTTCCTACAGAACCAGCGTATCCCAGGGGTGATACAAGTGGATCAACACGGAGAAGTTGGGAACTTCGGACACTTATTAGCCAAACCAAAGGTAAGAGAAAGGAAAGACATTGAACTTAAAAATGTTTAAGCATCAGATAACCAGTTCCAGTTAAAATTTGGTTTAGCTTTTGAATTATTAGGCCTTCTACATTAATATTTTGTGATCTCATTTATACCTCTGACATCAGTTCCTGTAATATAGTATGTGGTGGACATTTGCTATTTTTGTAACAAATTATAAGATCTTTGGGGTCAGAAATGTGTTTTATTGATATGTTCCTAAGTAGCCTGATGTAATTCTTTAATGAATATTTGTGAAATAAGTAAATATTTTTTTACGTAAGTAGAAGGAAAGAATTTATGTTATATAGTAGGTGATCAATGAATACTAACCAAAGAAAGAATAGAGAATAAGGTAGTGTATTTTTGTCCTAATAATCTTGAGCAGTAGGCAGAACAAATCCTTCCCTCTTCTTAAATAATAACACAGATTCTGAGAGGTCAAATAATTGGGTAAGGTGTAATGATAGAGCTGGTACTGGAGCACACTTCTCTCTTCGTGCCCAGAGCTGTCTCCTTTCACAGTATTCTTTGAACTGTGTGTCACCATTAGAAAAGTATTTGTCCCCCAAGGCCCAGAGAGATCAGGAGGATTTCACAGGAGAAGGCCTGGTGACTGGAGAATGGCCTCTTGGGACTGGACTGGTGGGTGTGGATATAAATGCAGGTGAAATTGGAGGAGGGAAGGATGCTCTGATTATAGACAGCTTCAGTGATCTAAACTCTTACCCAGAAGTGGGGGGCAACCCCTGAAGGCTCTTAAGTGGCTAGGTGTTTGGTTAGTGGGAGGATGGGGATTAGTAAGACATTGTAAGTAGATTATCTTGCTAGCCTAAATTGGGGGAACAGAACACTAGTGCAGTGATTCATTGTAAATAATAGGTATTGGTCTAAGGGGAGGACAAAAAAAGAAAATGGCAGCAAGAAACAGTTTTGTTGTAACAGTAGACAGGCATGGTGGACATCAGGTGTGTGTCTAGGGTTCAGGTGGGAGAGACTTCCTGGACTTGATCCTAGTGACGAGGAGATGGTCTCTCTATGGCTCACCCATCACAGTGATTTCCCTGGATACCAGGTCTTTGCCATGTTATTGAAGCAAATACTATGGAATCACTGGAACAGTGTTCCACTTGGGGGAGTTAGTTCACACGGACATATTAAAGACTGGGAAGTCTTGAGAAAGCCTTATGCTTAACAGCAACAAAAAAGCTTTTCCCAGAAATACTTGACAATGGAGCCTGCATCCTCATAGCTGTGAAAAGCTTGTCTTAGGAGGGGTAGAGTTTCTGTGTCATATTAAAGTAAAGGAAACAAACTAGGACCTATGTTTTAAAGATATGATTATTTATTTATTTATACCGAGGATCAAACTCAGGATCTTGCACTTGTGAGGCAAGTGTGGCGCCACTGAGCTAAATCCCCGGCCCTCTAGTTTCAAAAAATAATTAAAACATAAGTCTGGGAATTTCACTTCAGATTACTCTCACATTCATTCAGGTTTTCAGAGATGTCTTTGCTGGAAGATTGAAGCTCCTAGATATTTATTAGGATGCAGTATGAGAAGTGCTGTCACAGAGATGTGTGTAAGCCAGTGGTTTTAAGTTAGTGGGTGGTAAAATTTTAGTGAGTGTGATCAGCCATTAAAAAGGATAGGATGGAATCAGATGTAGAAAGGGTAATAATGTCTCACGAAACTCATATTAGATATGTATCTCTGTGTGTAAAAGTTATCTCTTTAGGTCATGGTAAAAGAAGTTGGAGAAATAGTGATACAGACACTGGTGGGAAGGTAAGGGATAATAGTGTATATTGAGTCTTCTTATATTGCAGACACCAGGCTAAATGCTTATTCATCAATAAGCATTATTTCATTAAATTAAATTCATTAAATTCATTAAATGCGTTATTTCATTAAATCTTCACACATTTAGCTCAGTGGCACTGTGCCTGCCTCACAAGCACAAGTCCTGAGTTCGATCCCCAGTACCAAAAAAAAAAGAAGGCAACTAATAGATTAGGTATTTCATGTATGAAGTCAATTAATTTGCCCATCATCAAGCACCTAGAAAGTAATTACTCCAGGCATTCTAATGCTGGATCCTTACTTTGTAGTCTTTCCGGAGAAGGGAAGATTTCATTCCCTTTCATGAGAAGTGCTTATTTCACCTGAGTCCTGTGAGCTTTCTTCAGCAGCTACTGTGGTGAGAAGATATGTTAGGCAAAGGAGAAAGTGTGAGCAGTCCTGCGAGTGAGAGTTTGGTGTGTTCCTTAAGTCACCTAGTCTGACTAGCATGTGGTAGCAGAAGAAAAGAGGAATGGCTTAAAAAAGAAAAAAAAACCCAGGGAAGAATGTCTGGGTCCAAATTCTCCTTGACTGTAAACCCAAAATAAGAATTTGGAGGGCCGGGGGTTTAGCTCAGTGGTTCCGCCACCTGCCTTGCAAGCACAAGGTCCTGAGTTCGATCCCCAGTACCAAAAAAAGTTTTGGATTTTTGTTTAGTAAGCAGTAGAGATCTGAAATAAACTCAGGAGAGTAACATGTTACGATTTCATGTGTAGTAAGATAATGCTGACCAGCAAGAGAGTTATCTGGAAAGAGCAGGAAGTAGAGAACATAGGAGTTGCTGCGGTAGCTCAGCCATAGGCCTGGGGTGGTGAGTGGGGGTTAGCTGTCGAGCTTGGGGTTTATGTAAACACTGTGTAATGGGGGTGGGGTATGTGCTGGAATTAGTGGATTTTGAAGAATTCTAATTCATCTGTTGTTAATCTGGATAGAGAGTGATAAGGTTTACTGTAAGAGAGTGCATTGTAGACTGCTCTGTTCTCATTCTTATTTGTTGGAAATTACTTGGTAACAGTGTCTCTCACTGATGAGTTTGAGGGTCTCTCTGCAGATACTGCTTCTAAGCAAGGACCCATAGAAGCTATCCAGAAGTCAGTCCGATTGTTTGAAGAAAAGAGATACCGAGAAATGAGGAGGAAGAATATTATTGGTCAAGTTTGCGATACACCTAAGTCATATGATAATGTCATGCATGTTGGCTTGAGGAAGGTCACCTTCAAGTGGCAGAGAGGAAACAAAATTGGTAAGGAAACTAAGGACCATGTCATGAAAGCGGTCAATGTTAGAAAAAGCAGTATCTGTGTTTCTTTAGGCTAAATCTTTATAGTTTGTCCTCTTCTTACAGATATAGCAAATATACATCATATCTTTTCATATCTCTTTCTGTTGCTTAATTTCTAAAGTGTGGTCTAAGAACAATAAGCATGAGATTTGAAGAAAGATTTTACATAGTTCATTTAATTCAATAGTTTTACTCAATAATTTCAGAAGTTTCCCTTGGAGAACTACTGAAATTTCACCCATTGTTCTCTTTTATACAAGAATATTATTTGAACAGAGAATGGATACAAATCAGAATAGAACAATCATTTTTTCTGAAATGCTATCTCATTAATTTTCAGGTGAAACTGCCTCCTGTAAAACAATTAGTGGTAGATTATGTGATGTCTCAGATCCTTCTCTACTTAAATATATAATTCTTCAGGCATTTAGGTCCAAGGGTGCAAGCAGTAGGGAAAGATGACTGTGAGTCTCAGGAAACTGGAGCTTCCCTAAGAGCTGTCAAGTAGGACACAAAACCCTGAAAACAAGTACTTCACACATATTAATTATTATTTTCAGTCTTGTTTAGTTCTTCATCCTGTTGCTTTAATATCCCAGAAGGGGTGTTAGGAGATTATATCTCCCTCCACTCCTGAGCCTGCAGCAGTGAGGTAGACAGGGTCCAGAGTTGCCTGCTGCCTTCTGCCCCAGCACCAGCCCAGACCTTCTTAAGGAGCATGCTGGTTCAAAATGTGCGTAAGGAGTATTCATTGCTGGTCCTCGTGCTCTTCTGGGATTTTCCAAAGCCAGTTTTTCTCTATTTATGATGTTGACAGATAAGACATATTGACAGAATTACCTGAGACTTCATTTATTAGTGAACATTCAGAACTGTTTTGGGTCTTGCAGTAAACTGTAGTAAACATACTCATAGGCATCCAGAATTAATGGTTATAATTGTGAGTTTCAATGTTTTAACCCTTCTGAGCTGACTGAAAGAGTGGCCTATTGATGTTGTTCTCAGGGGAAGGACAATATGGGAAGGTCTACACCTGCATCAGTGTTGACACGGGAGAGCTGATGGCCATGAAGGAGGTAAGTCAGCTGGCTGGGTGGGCCTGTGTCGCAAATGACTCTGAGTGATGGAGATGCAGAATGGCAGCGGTGCACACTGCTGTCTGAAGTACTGTCCAGGCCTGAGTGCCTCATTGTGGAATTTAGACAGGACCAAGCCAGCAGTGCCTTGAGATAGCACTTGAAAGTGAAGGTGTTGACAATTCCATTGAGGAGGGTGAGAGCAGGAACACAAGTGAGCCCAACTCAGCAAAGGTATGAGACTGTGATCCTACTACAGAGGGAGGCAGAATAAGGGCTGATAGGGGATAGGGACAGTAGCACCTTACAGGGAGAAGATAAGCTTTGTGATAAACTTCCCAGGTGGAATGGGTGGATAGAGTAGGGAAACCTGAAGAATGGCTTGAGGGAAGGAAACCAGCCTCAGGGCTGTTGGAGAACTATTTGGTGTGGTTTAGAAGGTATCAGGGATTGAGGGTGAGGCAGAGATGTTTTTGACCCACAGGGTTCCCAGCCTCTTTGCCCTCTTCCTGAGCTGTGGTAGTGTTCATTCCTTTTCTGTGTCCAGCCCTTACCCTCCTCCCTTTATGTCATTGCTCTAACTTAGTTGTAAATGTCTTGCTTTTCTTCCTCTTTTTAATTTTTATTTATATGCTTACTTCGATTTTTTTTTTTTTTTGAGACAGGTCCTTCAGTATAGTCCAGGACAGCCTTGACCTCACTCTAAGCTGGTCTCAAACTTGCGATCCTCAGCCTCCCAAATGCTGGGATTATCAGCATGAACCCCCATGCCTGGCTTTCTTTTTTTATTTTTAATTGATATATCATAATTTTATATATTTATGGGATACAATATGATGGTGATGGCAAACCTATGGCCCACATGTTATTGTGTTTTTCTTTTGAGACAAACAGTGTAAAGGGCCGGGAATGTAGCTCTGTGGCACCATACTTACCTGGCAAGCGCCAAGGTCCTGAGTTTGATTCCTGGTACTGGAAAAAAAAAGACAAAAGATGTTAATAAAAGAGTTATTTTTTGTAAATTAAAACCTTGGTATTCAGATTTAATTGAAGTGTTGGCACTTTGTGATAAATAAGTGGGTTTTGGGTTGCAGTTTGGGCACTTGGTTTCTAAAAGGTTAGCCATCACTGCAATATGATGTCTTGATATGTGGCAATAATGTAGAGATCTGTGCAAGCTAATTAACATATTCATCATCTCACTTTTCATAATTTGAAATTTACTCTCAGTGGTTTTGAGGTGCATACATTATTACTAACTGTAGTCACCTCTTCAGCAGCATGGGTGAACCTAGATGACTGCTAAAGTTAAACAATAAGACAAACACAGAAGTACAGATACTGCATGGTCTTACTTACATGTGGAATCTAAAATAAGCTGTAAAATTTTTAAGTGCGGAATTACATTTTAACTTTCTGCATTGCCCAGAACTGGGGCACAGTGATTGCTTACTACTAAATGCTTTTGGTGGTATAGGTCACAGTTGACAGTGATCTTGTTAGCTATTACATCAGCAGATATTCAAAACAAGAGTGCTTAATTCACTTGGAACAGTAAAAGAGAAAATCTGGAAGTAAAGTTGCAGTCATATTGACCATAGGCCTGGCTTGCACAGTGAAAATGTCAGTAGATGGCTTTACAGTCTTTACATTTAAGATGCTTGTTTCCAGTTTGACTGTTGGGAACAATTTTTCTTTCGCAGATTCGATTTCAACCTAATGATCATAAAACTATTAAGGAAACTGCGGATGAATTGAAAATATTTGAAGGCATCAAACATCCCAATTTGGTTCGGTATTTTGGTGTGGAACTTCATAGAGTAAGCGGACTTTAATCACACTGTTTTGTGTGAGGAATCAGTAAGGGTACCAAATGGAGTCCTGTTCTACATCACAGGTCTTCTCATTTCAGAGCACAGTAACTTTGCCTAATTATCAGGAAATCTCCATGAGTTACATCATTTCTGCCTTCTCTCTGAAACTAAGGAGTTCTTCCTAAAATGTAAGTTGTAGACTGTAGTCATTAACCTGACATTATAAAGCACTGAAACCCATCCTGCCACTCTGAAGATTCTTCTGAAGTGCCCCTTCCCCCACTTCTTGTGACTTTTTTCCATTTACAGTTCAACATCAAGTGATATTGATTTTCTTTTCTATGTTTTTAAGGAACTATTGTGAAATGAGAGAAAATTAAAACCTCAAATTCATTTCCCCTGCTGTGTTTAGCAATAAACATGTCGAGGGAAAGAGCATGACTTTTGGAGCATCTTGGTATAGAGCCAGAGCTTCCAGGGGGAGTTGGGTGTTGATCACTTCCAATGTTTGCACAAATATGTTCATGTTTAAAAAGGATGTGTTTCAGTACTTAATAATATATTTATAGGGACAGCCCTGTTGGTCCCTGTCTGAGATTATATGGCAGACTTAATCTCGGAGGGTGATAGAAGTTCATCCCCTGTGATTTGGAGGAGACATTATTACCCTGGCGAGCTGTATAATTCCAGACAGGAGGTAGGCAGCCACCTCTGCAGAAGAGCTAGACACACCTGCTACACACACATTTCAGTGCTCAGGATGGCTAGCGTAGTGGACCACTAGAAAGAAGATCGATTCCTCCGGGGCATGGCCTGTGACGTTTTCCAAAGCTTTCATGTTGTGTCCATGTAAAGAAAACCACAAACACAAGACTGTGTTTTATTCCTCCCCCAGGAAGAAATGTACATCTTCATGGAGTACTGTGATGAGGGCACATTAGAAGAGGTGTCAAGGCTGGGGCTTCAGGAACACGTCATTAGGCTGTATTCAAAGCAAATCACCATTGCTATCAATGTCCTCCACGAGCATGGCATAGTTCACCGTGACATTAAAGGTAATCCTACATGTGTTTGGCTGCCATGGGTAGGGTGTCTGGTGTTTAGCACATAGTAGGTACTCTATAGATACTCATTCCTACTCATATCTACTGTTTCTCCAGATAGGTAGATCTTTGCTTTAAATTATGCTTCTAATGGATCTCACATTGAAAAATAATGTTGCAGCAGGGCTTGGTAGTGCATACCTGTAATCCCAGCACTTGGGAGGTTGAGACAGAAGAATCACCTTGAGTTCAAGGAAAACCTGGGGTATATAATGAGTTCAAAACAAGCCTGAACTACATAGAGAGACACTGTCTCAAAAAAAAAGTTGAGCTTTATCTCCTGTCCATTAGTGGGAAAATCTGCTCTTATTTTTTCTGTTCAACATTACTTTTAGAAAAATCTGTTTTTCAAAAGCAGAGTCTGCTGTTTTATAGGCTAGTTTGGCTTAGCTTGTGTGTTTAATAGATATTTATTATCAAAGCAAACTTATCCCTGTGTCAAGGTCCTTTGAGTTTATATATGAGTGTTCTGAATATGTAAAGTGACAATAAATCAGAAATGCTTATGTAAGTTAGACTGTGCAGCTGTGTCTTTAGAGTCAAGAATAGGATTTATTTATACCAGTCTCTAAATTAGAATTCTCCTGGGGCCGGGGATTTAGCTCAGTGGTTTCGCTGCTTGCTATGCAAGCACAAGGACCCAAGTTTGATCCCCGGTACCACAAAAAAAAAAAGAAAGAAAAGAAAAAAGAAAATAAATTAGAATTCTGCTAATGGTTAATTTGGTCATGTTGATTGATTAAAAGTGCTTTTCTCTTCTAGCATGAGGGGAGTGGCTATGCTTCCATCCCAGAATTGTCACTGTGACATTTGCCTTAACCACACCATGCCCTTGACTTTTGCCTTGGGGAAGCTTGTAGAGCTAAAGCCAGAGAGTATTTTTGTATCTTTGACCTTAAAGTATTCTGTCATATAGTCTGAGTGAGGTAACCTAAACATATTTACTAAAGAGTTGGCCTGACTTCTGACGATGGACTAGACCCATTCTGCTGGGCTATTCTGGATTACACCAGAATCTGCATTGGTCTGCGTGTGAGAATTGCTCTTCCTTTTTAATGTGGTTCAACCATTTGTCACCCAGTATATGCCGGGCTTGTTGGCTGCCTGCCTGTCCACCACATATGTGGCCTTGCTGTCTCGAGTCATTCTGAGGACTGCTTTAATTGGCTCTTGAATAGGCTTTTGCATTGCCCATTTCCAGTTGTTCTGCCACAAACATCATATCAGTCTATGTGCATGATCTTGAAATGGTAACTGCATGTTATATTCCCTGCCAAGAATATACAGATGTAGAATATTTCCAGAATTATCCCTGTGTAGAGGACTATGAACTCTGCAAGGACTCACATGTTGAGGATGAAATGTTAGACATTAGCTCATTGCATGGCTGTTGTCCAAATAAGTGGCTTTGTGTTGCTCTTTGAAGTACATATTGTAAGGCAGGTACCAAAGATGTGTGACTTGGTTGGAATAATTATAACTTGTAGTCAATAGCAAAAGCCCAAGCTGCCCTGAAAGCTGAACAGTAAACCCAAATTCCAACTAGGGTACAAGTTAGACATATATATTGTTTGTAGAAATACAGGAAAATTATAGAACATCGTTTGCAATTATATTCTATAGTAAATCCAGAGGCAAACTTGGCTGTGACTCTGTAGAGCTACAGTGTGTGTTCCAGTTCTTTTCTAAATATCACTTCTTAACATGAAGACAGCTTTTTGGAGACTGTCACAGCATTTGTATTTTGTATATAATTTCTCTTTAAGTATATCTATGAGTTTTTAATGAATGTTAGAATTTATGCATGTACTTCAGATTTTTTTTTGTCAAGTCATCTGCCCTGCCGTTAAATTTCATTGCTTTGAATTATTAGTGTTTGTGAATAAAGTTTGTAAGTCTTTCTATAACTGAACATTGTAAGGAAAGTTTCAAAAGCCTTTGTAGTATTTACTTTGTGAATAAAATTTCTGGTAGTTAGGTAACCATGTAAACATTAAAGGGCTCGACAGAGACTGCTTAATGACTACTTATTTCTTGTTAGGTGCCAATATCTTCCTTACCTCATCTGGACTAATCAAGCTGGGAGATTTTGGATGCTCTGTAAAGCTTAAAAACAATGCACAGACCATGCCTGGTGAAGTGAACAGCACACTGGGGACAGCAGGTAGGGCCCAACTAGATAGGTCTCTGCGCATGCACTTAGGGCAGGGTGCATGGCCACTGGGCTCCCCTTCACCATTCTATGCCAACCTGCAGAGTAGAAAGAGTTTTATAGTCATGAAGAGGACTGCTCCTCCACAAATGAAAGCCTCCATGTGAGGGAAGTTGTCCAATTGGTGAATTAAACTAGTTCTTGATGAGGGCCAGGATTTAGCTCAGTGGTGCCACCACCTGCCTCGTAAGCACGAGGCCCCGAGTTCGATTCCCAGCACCAAAAAAAAGAATTTTGAAAGTTAAAGGTAGAAGGAAGCCTCTTTTTCTTCCCAGAAAGACTCATTTTGTTATTTACATTGGTATTGTGAAAATGTTCTAGTTGAAATAACATTATGGTTAAATGGTAATTATTTCTTTTGATCATTTAGTGCCATAAAATTTTTCATCCTCTGCCACATTTCCTGTTTTCATTATGAATACAACTTATTTGAATATTTACATATTCAAAAGTTGCTTTTTAAAAGACAATTCTGTCTCCAAAGAGTCCCTCCAACAAATTGATTTTACATATCTATTTTCAAGTTTTCAACATTTCCTCTTATATAATTTGGAGAAAGAATATTAACTTATTGCTTCATGCTATTAATACATGGTGCTGTGTTTATAGCCTGTTACTATCACTTTGTCTGTGACTTTTAAAGCATACATGGCACCTGAAGTCATTACCCGCGCTAAAGGAGAGGGCCATGGGCGTGCTGCAGACATCTGGAGTCTGGGATGTGTTGTCATAGAGATGGTGACTGGTAAGGTAAGCAGAGCCCACACCTGGGAGGGGAACTTCAGGAGGGCACTATATACTGACAAAGCAGAAATTGTGGTTTTATTATTTATTATAAATTCTCGAGGCACATTTTCTGCGAGAGAACATGATTAGAGATTAAAATGTGACCCAACAAAAGATACTACGAGGTTATAAAACATGACAAACTAAGAAATGAATATGTATGAGATATATGCTATGCCTTATGAGTGAATTTAAAGAAACAAACCTCAAATTAGAACAAGGAGAGACAAACAGTTACAAAAAGAAACATGAAACAGAAAACTTGTGTCCACACAACTTCTATGTGAATGCTTGTAGCAACTTTAGTCTTAAATGGCAGAACTTAGAAGCAAACTTAGAAGCAATCAAGATGTCCTTCAATAGATAAAGGAATAAACATGTTAAATCCATACAAAGCAATAATGTTCAGTGGTAAAAAAGTGCTATAGATCCTCAGAAAGAGACATAGAGGCACCTTAAATATATTTGGCTAAGTGGTGAAGGATGCCAACCTGAAAAGGCTGTGTCTGGTATGGTTCCATCTATATGGCATTCTCTAAGAGGCAGAACTATAGGAATAGTATAAAGAACAGTGGTTACCAGGGGAGGGAGGGATGACTAGGTAGAACACAGGGCTTTTGGGGGTGGTGAAACCTTTCTGGAGAGTGATGATGGATACCTGTCATTACACTTAAGTCCAAACCTATAGACTGTGCAACACAGTGACTCCTAATGTAAACTATGGACTTTGATTAGCAGTAGTGTATTGACATTGGCAATACATTGCAAAATGTGGATAATAGGGGCAACTGGGGAAGGTGAATGGAAGGGTGGTTATGTGAAACTCCATGCTTTCTAGTTTAGTTTTTTTTTTTTAATTAAGCCTGTTAATATAAAAAAAAAAGAAATGATCAGTCTCACTAGTAGTAAAAGTGAAATTTTAGTTTTTATTTAGCATACAAGTGACCTTTTTAAAGATTTTGTAATACTTTCAGAGGATGTAAGGAAAGAGACATGTATTATGAACAAAAATTCAAAGTGGTAGAATTGCTCTGCATTGTTCAGCATCTGTCCACACATAGAATGTAGGCATCATGTACTGCAAACATGTACTAAAAAAAATTAAATGTGCGTAGCCCTTAAACCAAGAAATTTTTACTTCTAAAAATCTCTCTTCTTCTGAAGATACTGATGGGTAATTGTACAAATGTATAAAGATACACATTTATACAATATATCTATGTAACATCATTTATACAGGAAAAAAAATGTCTTTTAAGTGTTACTAGGAAATCATTTATTCAGCTGTACCTTCCAGCTACTGAAAAAGAACACATATAATAAGTGCTTTGCAAATACTAGCTGTGTTACTTCTGTTAGCATTAAGGTAGGAAAATGGCCATGATATCTATATTATTTTAATCAAGCTGTGCAGAAGCAAGGATTCACATTCATGAGGATAACTAAGCAATAGTAACAAATTAGAATGCTGTACAAACTTAGTTATTTCCCTATGAATTTTTCCTATGATTATAATAATCTTTGCAATAAAGGAATTTTCATTATTCACCAAGGTACCATATTACATATCCCTGCAAGAGTTGCTGAGTCTTATGTTTTAGTGACATTTTTATATCATTATATATATTGCATCTTTTAGTTGGGTGAAGATTGCCGGTAGATAATTCTGGACTAGGTGAACTATGCTAACTACCGGTTTGTAAACAAAGTTTTATTGAAACACAGCTGCACCTGTTCATGTGTGTATTGTCTTTAGCTGCTTTCATGCTCCAGGGAGAGAGCTAAGTAGTTGTGATAAAAACCATGTGGCCTATAAGCCTGAAGTATTCACTCTGTATTTCTAAAGTAAAGGTTTGCTGACCCCTGATGGTCATTAATTTCAAGATCCCTAAAAAGCAATTAGGTATTTTTTATGTTTATTTTGTCTATCTTTGTAGAGGCCTTGGCATGAGTATGAACACAACTTTCAGATTATGTATAAAGTGGGAATGGGACATAAGCCACCAATCCCTGAAAGATTAAGCCCCGAAGGAAAGGACTTCCTCTCTCACTGCCTGGAAAGTGACCCAAAGATGAGATGGACAGCCAGCCAGCTCCTCGACCATTCTTTTGTCAAGGTTTGGCAGATTGCTAAAGTCATCCTCATGTTTAAATTTATTTGAGTTCAGTTTTGTACTGGCACTTAAGAACATTTGGAAACTTAAATATAAAATACCTATGTCTAAAATGGAAAGGAACTAAATGTCTTCTTATGCCAGGCATTTTTGTATGTGTTTTTAATTTGGAAAATGTTCATTGAGGCCCTTCTGGTCATCTATTTTGGTATTACATTGAAAGTACACTTGAGACCGTTAAATGGAATTTTGAGTGGGACTGACTGAAGAATAGTTTCCACTCTTGGAAGCATGTAGTCTGGAGATTAGTAATGACCAGTCACTGTGGTAGGAGCTCTGATCGTGGTATGTATGCCATACCTTATGGTTGCTGAAAAGAAGGATTTAATGCTATCAAGTAGTCTCAGGTATTTGCTCTGCAATGAGGTACCTATCCTGTAAGAGAGGGTTTTGCCAGTCAGGGATGGGGGTAGGGATGTGGCAGACAAAGTGAAGAGGTATAGAAAGACACGGTCCTGGAGGTAGAAGATTTGAGGGGTGTGTATAGGTGAGATCCTGATGGGGCACAGGATGTGCAGAGTGCCAAAAGGTACAGCTGGAAAAGTAAGCAGGAACAATGAAAAGGAATTTCAGTTTAATTGTAAACATAACATGGTTAAGTTGTGTTTTAGAAAGATCACTGTATAGAAACTAGTTAGGTAGCTGCTGATACACTGGAGGACTGAGAATGGAGCATCAACATGAGTTATCAGCTACATTTAGGAGTTAGAATGCCCTTGCCTGAGGAACTGGTTGGATATGAGGGGTGAGTCTGGGGAGGACCTATGGGCTGCAGAGATTCTGTTCTCCACTCTAGGGTAAGAGGCCAGCTGGTTGAAGGGTAGGCCAAGGAGTTGAGTTTCTTTTGGGTTATGTGTGAGGTGAGATATGTTTGGAACATCTCCTTGAGGATTTCAGTTAGGCATGTGGGTGTTTCCAGCTAGTACTCCAGGAAGTTGGGCGAGGCTACAGATTTGGAAGACAGAAGTGTTGCCTCTACAGGCCCCTGCACAGGCGCTCCCGGCACAGGAGAGGAGGGGGAGTGGTGACATTGGTCTTGGTAAGAGGGGAGAAGGAGCAAGCATCTGGATTAGCTGTAGAGGTATTAGAGATATGTAATTAAAGAACTAGTAGGTATAAAATACATACAATATATATTGTCTTGAGATTACACATATATATTTCAAAAATTTTCAGTAGTCCTTAAGTTTACCCTGAGAGCAGGTACTCAGGCAGCACTGACCTGCATGTTTCCTTCCCTCCTTCTTTTCCTTTCTTCCTAGTGGGGGGAGTGGAACCCAAGGCCTCACACATGCCAGGCAAATACTCTACCACTGAGCTATACTCCCAGCCTTGCGTTTCATTTCCCGAGCCTCCCCTGTCAGATGCATACACATATATCCACACCTGAAGGACTCAGCTGTCTCCTGTTTCCTCACAGGTCTGCACAGATGAAGAGTGATGCTCACCAGTCTGTGGCTTAGTAGTGTGTGGATGCAGAGAACTCTCTCAATCACTACTGTATGTAATATTTACAGAAAGACTGCTGAGAAGCAGTGCAGCCTTAACCTTCCAAGACTGAAGACTGCACAGGTGACAAGCGTCCCTTCTCCTGCTGCTCCTGTTGTCTGACGTGGCACAGCCCTCTTGAGTGATGGTGTCCACGAGGTTAAAGAAGCTGCATGTTAAGTGCCATTACTACTGTACACGGACCATTGCCTCTGTCTCCTCCATTTCTTGTGCAACGAGAACCGTGACATCAGTGTAGTATTTTTGACCTTTTGGGTTCAAAAGAAGTTGTAGTGTTATCAGGCGTCCTGGACCTTGTTTTTAATCTCCTGTTGTTGAGTGCACTGACTGTGAAACCCTGTCGTTTTTATTGGCAAGCTGCAGGTTTGTTATGCAAAAGGCTGACTAATGAAATTTAAGAAAAAGGTTCTTTTTTCAATAAATGGTTTATTTTAGGAAAGCTAAGTTATATTGTCTTTTAATGGTTAACAACTCAAGAGTCAACAGTCTAGGATGTTAGAGCTTTTTAGAGCTTAGTCCTTTTTACCTACTTCCTCACAAAGGAGCACAGCCAGATATACTCAGCAGGGCGCTAGGCCGAGGGCTCACCGAGGATCTAGCTAGGGTGTCCTTGCTGACCAGTAGCAGATATAAATGAAGCAACACTAATGGTATAAGATAGCCCTTCTTTTATATTATCCAGCACATTTAGAATCAACAAAAGCTCAAGCCTTGTTATCACATGTTGGGGCTCAGTTTATTTTTAAACCAAAATATATAGGTGCTAGGTCAGTGTAAATACTGCTGAATGAGCTCTTGATAAGAAATCATCTTTTTTCAGAATGTAAACTAATTTCAGCAGTGTTCTAAAATAGCCAAATTATATGTCATTGATGGTGTTCTTTATTTCTTTTTGCTATTAAATTTTTTTTAAGATTGACTTTGAAGCTTCCTTAAATCTTTTTAGAAGATCATTGACTTACTCCTTACACATAGCAGCTCCCCCTGGGTGAGTCCTTTCTTAAGCAGGTTCTGCAATCACCTCCCTCCAGGATAATTGATCTCCAACATCCAGAGAATGTTGACATCACAGAATTTAAACAGTCACTTAGAATATTTTTTAGATTTGAAATGTCTTTATGTAATACAGCCCTTTGAGTTATTCACATAATACTTCAGCAGTAAAATTCATAGTTTTGAACCAGGCATGGTGGTGCGCATCTGTAATTTCAACACTCTGGAGGCTGACGCAGGAGGATCACCATGAGTTCAAGGGGAGCTTGGGCTACATAGTTCAAGACCAGCCTGGACTAAACAGCAAGACACTGTCTCAAACAAACAAATAAAAACATAGTTTTGTAGTTGTACAACCATCATTATAATCTAATTTTGGACCATTTCCATCAACTCCAAAAGAAACTACATGTCTATTTGCAGTCACTCCCCTTCTTACCACCATCCTTAAGTAACCACTCACCTATTTCCTGCCTCTATAGACTTGCCTATCCTGGACATTTCATATCATTAGAATCTTGAAATATATAATCTTTTTGTCTGTCTTCTCTTAGTGTATTTCTGAAGTTTAATGATATTGTATGAGTATCGGTACTTCATTCTTTTTTATTGCTGAGTACTAGTCCATCATTCTTTTTTCCCTGGTACCGGGAATCGAACTCAGGACCTTGCACTTGTCAGGCAGGTGTGGTGCTGCTGAGCTACATCCCCAGCCCCTGCTGAATACTATTCCATTGTATGAATGTCCCACCACACTTTATCCATTTCTGATTGATAGGCATTTGGATTGCTTCTGTTTTTGGATTATTATGAATGACACTCTGGATGTTCCTGTACAAGTTTTTGTATGGACTTGTTTTCATTTCTCTTGGTAGTAGAATTACTGAGTCCCATGGTAACTCCATGTTCAACATTTTCAGAAACTTTCAAACTGTTTTCCATAGTGGCCATACCAGCAGCATATGAAGGTTACAAGTTTTTCATTAGCTTGTCAACACTTGCCATGGACTTTCTCTTTGATAATAGCCATTCTAGTGAATGCAAAGTGGTACGACCTTGTGATTTTGATCTGCATTTCCCTAATGATGGTGAACATGTCCTTGTCTTCTTTGGTGAAATGCCTTTTCAGTCTTTTGCCCATATTAAAATTGAGTTACTTGTCTTCTTATTGAGTTGTAAGAGATTTTTTATACATTTGAGATCAAAGTACTTTACCTGATATGTGATTTACAGATTTTTCTTTTCCAGTCTGTGGCTTGTCTTTTCCTTTTCTTAATGATGTCTTTTGAAGCATGAATGATTGTCTATTTTTGGAGTAATGGTGATTGAGCCCTAGGCCTTTGCAGTGAGCTATATCCTCAGCCCTTATTTTTTATTTTGAGACAGAATCTTACTAAGTTTCACAGGCTAGGCTTGAATTTGTAATTGTCCTGTCTTAGCCTCCCAGAGTGCTGGGATTTCAGGAGTGTATCACCACACTTGGCAGTTTTCAGCTTTTTAAACCTCTGATTCATAAACCTTTTCTTTATTGCTTGTGCTTAATATCACAGTTAAGAAATCATTGCCCAGGTGGATGGCATCGCTGTCACCTGCTGCAGTTCCTGCGGGCATGCTGAGTTTTTGCATCAGGTGGCAGCACGAATCCATTATTTCCAATGGAGACCAGCCCGGCAGAGGGAAAGTTAGTTAATAGCATTGGGATATAGTCATTGCAATGGTGCTATTAACAGTCAACACCCTTGTATTTTTTAACTTGTGTCCTGTATCTCCTCAGCCACATAACTTAAGTATATTTTGTCATCATATCTTTATGGTGGGGCCAGTCTTTGCACTTATTGCAGTGCAACACTTGCACTTTACTTTTCCTCCGTTTAAAATTAGAGCAAATACATTGGCAATACAGCTACTTTTGCTCTGAGCTACAGTCATGGCTTCTCATGTTATTTACCAAGTGGTGTGTGGTTAGGAATCATAGCTGTAAAATTGATTTCAGTTCATTACGCTTCTTCATGATGTTGCCCCTCAATTTTGCACACTATATTCTTGTATATTATTTTTAAATTTTAAAAAGTAAAAAAAAAAAGAAATCACTGTCCAACCCAAGGTCACAAAGATGTGTGCCTATTTTTTTGTGAGTTTTACTGTTTTAGCTCTTAAATTAGGCCTGTTTTTTAATTTACAAGATTGAAGTTCAAATACACTCTTTGCATATGGATATTTGTGTGACCAGCATCTGAGGACAGTTCTTTCTCCAGTAAGTTATTCTGGGGTCCCTGTTGAAAACCAGTTGATCATAAATGTAAAGGCTTGGTTCTGGACCCTCAATTCTTTTCCATCAATCAGTATGTTTGTTATGTACAGTGCCGTACAGTCTCGATTACTGTGGCTTTGTAGTAAGTTTTTAAAATGGGAAATGTGAGTCCTTCAACCTTGTTTTTCTTTTTCAGGATTGTTTTGACTCTTCTGGGATATTTGCATTTCCGTATGAATTTAGCATTAGCTTCGCTTTTTGTACAGAAGTAGAAAATCAGCTGGTATCTTGATAGGGATTGGATTCAATCTGTGGAACACCTTTGTGAATATTGTTATCTTAATTTAAGTTTTCCAATCCATGAACACAGGATAGCTCTCCATTTATTCAGGTATTTGATTTCTTCAGCAGTGCTTTGTAATTTTCAGTGTTCAACTCATGAACTTAAATTTATTTCTGAGTATTGTATTCTTTTTCATGTAATTGTGAATGAAAATATTTCTTAATTTCATATAGCGATTTCATTGCTAGTGGAGTGCTACCTCGATTCATGAACTTAATTCTTTCTATAATCTGGTTGCAAACTGAATTGGATGTGAACCAAATCACATGTCCCCTCAAGGTCAACATTGAATGTAACCATTGAATTTGATTCAGTTCTTGTCCTATTTGGTTTGCAACCACAGTCGTGGAAAGAATTAAGTTTGTAAACCGAGGTACCATTGTATATGTGCATACAACTGATTTTTGTGTTATTTATTTTTCAACCTGTGGCCTTGCTGAACTCAATCGTTGTAATAATTGTTTTATAGGCCCATAAGCATTTTCTACATATGAAATTATGTTGTCTATGAGGAAGCTTTGCTTCTCCCTTTTAAAGATGTCTCTCGCTTTTTGTCTAGTCACACTAGTTCGACGGTCTAGTACACTGTTGAATTGCAGTGGTGAAAATACAAAGTATCGTACTTTTGATCTTAGAATGAAATCTTCAGTCTCTCACCATTAAGTGCTAGTATAGGTTTTTTATTAATGCCTGTCGTGTCACTCTCATTGCTTGGACAAAGTACCCGATACTCACAACTTAAAAGGAGGAGAGGTTTATTTAGGCTCAGTTTTTAAAGCATTCACTCCATAGTCATCAGGCTCCAAGAAAGGAAGGGCATGGTGAAAGTGTCTAACAGAGGAAACATACTCACATAAGGAAGCAGAGAAAGAAGGGAGGAGCAAAGGGGGAAGATATACCCCAGTCATACCTCCAGTCATACCCCACCTCCTAACAGCACATTCAACTACTGAACTCATTAATGGATGAATCCACTGATAAGTATGGCACCCTCAAGATACAATCACCTTCCAAAAGCCCATCTCTGAGCCTTTTGGTGATCATTCCAGATCCAAGCCATACAGTGGACTTTCTCATTTGAGGACTATCCTTCTATTCCTGACTTGAGAGTTTTATCATGGTTATGTATTAGATTTTGTCAAACACTGTTTCTTCATATAGTGGGATGATCATATGTTTTTGTCTTTTATTATGTTTAATATGGGATATTGCATTGACTTTAGGATATTAAACTATTGCTGTCTAGGATAAATCCTTGATCATTGTGCATATTTTTATATGCTGCTGTGTTCATTTGTGACATTTTGTTGAGGTCTTTGCTTCTGTATTACATGAGGAATATTGTTCTGTAGTTTTCAGTTCTTGTGATATAGTTGGCTTTGATATCAGGGTGATACTGTATTCCTATAGTAAGTTGGGAAGTTTTCTTCCTCTGTTTTCTAAGAAATGGTGAAAGATTAGTATTATTCACCAGGCTTCTTTAAGTGTTTGGTAGACTTTGCTAATGAAAGCAGTTGGGCCTGGGTTTCTCATTGTGGGAAGATTTTAAGTTACTAATTCAGTCTCTGTACTTGTAGATCTATTAAATTTTCTTATTTCTCCATTTATCAGTGTCAGTAATTTAAGTCTTTCTAGAAACTTGTCTATTTTAGCCAAGTTGTCTGATTTGTTGACAGTTGCTCATAGTATCCCCAGTAAGTCTTTTAATTTCTCCAGGGCTGGTAGTAATGTCTGCTTGAGTTCTTTAGTAATTTTGTTTTCTCTCTTTCTTGGTTAAATAAAGGCTTATCGATTTTGTTGAGTTTTTCAAAGAATCAAACTCTGATTTCATTAATATTTTCTGTTGTTTTTCTGGTTTGCATTTGTACTTCTTTTCCATACTGGTCTTTATTGTTTCTCTCCTTGTGTATGCTTTGGGTTTAATTCATTGAATGTTTTTAGAGATAGTGAAGGCAAAATGCTAGTAGATAAAAATAATTTCTCAGGGTTTTGGGGGATGGGAATTATTAGGAATTGGAAGAGCCTTTGTACTGAGCTACATGTCTAGCCCTTTTCTGAATTTTTTTTTAGATAGACTTACTAAGACTCTTAAGTTGCCCAGGCTGAAATTGAACTTTTCATCCTTCTGCCTCAGCCTCCCAGAGTGCTGGGTTTAGAGGCATGTACCACCAACTATTTTGTTTTAATAGTTTACAATAGAGTCCATATCTCAAACACATTCTAAAGATGACTTCTCAATAACGAAAAAAATGTAATATAAAAGAGGTAGATTTTTGTTTTCACCTAACATAGCAGCCTCAGTTTGCTGGTATTATATTCTTCAGAGTGTGGATGGTAAACATTTTCTGTGAATGGCCAGAGGGTACATACTTCTGGTTTGTGGACCGTCCAATCTTGGCTGCAACTACTTAGCTCTGGTGTTACAGCAAGAGAGCAGCTGCCGCCATCAACAGTGCGTGAATGAGATGAGTGCGTGTGGCTGTGGTTCAGGACGGAGCAAGCAGCAAGCCAGATTTGACCCACAGGCCATGGTTTGCCAACTGTTGCTCTAGAGCAGTGATGGGGAACCTTTTAGAGCTTTCAATGATGCAAA